TCTCTCTTTTTCCTTAACCTTAAGTTTCGTACAAAACTGCACGACTCGTCGCACCGCCATCGCGTAGTCGTGTCTACTCCTCTTTCGCCTCGCCTCGCCTTGCCACTCTCTCTCTCTCTCTCTCTCTCTCCTCGCCTCTCACTCCTCTTCTCCTCCTCTCTCTTCTTTCTTCTGTGTCTCACTCTCGTTTTCTTCGCCGAGCCGTATAGTAGTAGTTTGAGTTTTGTTCGCGATACATCGCTATCAGCGCTGGACAGCGGCGCAGCCAATTCCTGCACGCGCGCGACCGACCGAGCGTCCGGCGATTTTCCGACTCGAACTACTTGCGCGACTTTTCTTCGCTTCGAATCCAAATCCTTGTCGGCAATGACTTGTCGGCACTTGTTGAGCTTGACACAACTCAGCGTCTGTTAACTCGAGTTCGCCTAGACTGCAGGTTTAAGTTTTTGCTTTATGCGTATCGCGCGCGGCTTGAAATACATCGAGAGACGGACGCGGTGAGACAGAAAAAAGAGAAAAATGACAAAGAGAGAGAGAGAGAGGAGAAAGAGAAAAAGAGAACCAGACAGACAGACAAGTAGGGGAAGTGTGACCTTGAATTAAATATCGAGGTTTCGAGCTTTTTAAGTTTCGCAGACGTCAATGTCATGCAGCCGATAGCTGAACTTGGCTTAGAAGAAATGGGGTAAGTTTCGTCGCAGTACGGCAGTGAGTACTGGCGTTCCGTTGAGTCGTGGGAATATTGCCATTATCTTGGTAAGTAAAGTCGACTTTTTTTTCTCTGCTTCGCTCATTTGTCGCTTAATTGTATACGATACGCGAGCCAACTTCGCTTATCGTTCCACTGTCACGCAGTCAGACACGCATGCACTGACACCGACGCACGCCGTATTTTTTTTCTTCTTTTTTTCTTTTTTTTCTTTATCGCGCTTGTACGTGTGTATTCTTTGCGCTTCCGTGACTCATTGAAACTCGAGTTCCAAAAGTATCGAGCTCGCGAATCTTCAAGATAATTTGTTAATTACCTAGCCTCGGAAGAGCTCGGGAGAAAAGAGTACAAACTTGTACGTGCGACATTTTATATGCACACGTTACGCGCTTACACACATACCCACGTATAATGTAAAAATATGCGAGGATAAGGAAATTGTATACGATCGGCCGCAGCGCGCGCGACTTGGCTTATTTTAGTTTTTATTTTAAAATGCATCGCTCGGACGTTTCAAGGTTACGCCTCGGTCTCGGGCTCGCGACGCGTGTCCCGTGTGTGTCTCTGTGTGTGCGATGCGCCTGCCGAGTACAGGCGAGTGTTGCGCCTTCTTTTTACACACGCGCGCAACATAATTTTAATCATTTTGGAATTGCAGTAACCTCATTTCTTTACTCGCCCGAATGTCAGTCTCGCCTTCTAAAAATATCATTACGCGCCTTACCGAATGAAACGCCAAAGCCAAATAAATTCAACGGGCCTCCGATTTCGTGGGCAACGAGCTACAGACGGGCTTTTTGCAGATTTCTTGTGCTCGCAAAGGCGAAAGTGCATCCATCAGCGTAAAAGCAAACTACTCGTGAGTGGAAAGAGTGAGAGAAAGAGAGAAAGGAAAGAAAGAGAGGAGAAAAAGCAGAGAGACTTTCGGTCTGGCAATGCAGAGGAGTGTCGCGAAAAACGAGCATAGAGCTTTCGGCTTATCTAATTGTATGTATCTTTCGATAAAATTTGTATTCGAAATAAAGGCTGTCGGCGGCGATTCGGCTGAATTCTCCTCGGTGACGCGTCGCTCGGCTCGCGTTTTATATTGCCCACGTCGGAATCGACGCAAAAATTGCATCTGCATTAAAACGATCAAACCCGACGACTCGAAATATGGGTATATGGGTGTGTAAGGCAGGCAGCAGTCTCCAGCGCCACTCGAAACTCGCCAGCGCGACGCGAAAAAGAAAGAGGGAGAGAGAGAGAGAAAAGGAAAGAGTTTGTCTGTGTGTGTGTTCGTATAAACCTGTGCTGCGCCGCCAGACGCAGACTCCGGTCAAGGTCGTGCATCGTTTTAACGCTCGCATTTTTATTCTTTTTTTTTTTTGTTGCCGCTGCTGCTTCTTTTCGTCCACACGCTTTTGCTCCGAAACGCGTCGGCTTTTCTACTAACCGGTGGGCGACCGTACGTGCGTGTATACTCTCGAAAAATAAGTCCGGCGATTGAACAAACACTGCGCAGTCTGCGGAATCGCACGTTGAAAAAATGGGCTTGCTACGTCAGTTATTTGAGGATAGTTTTTTGACCGCGTATTTCTCGCCTTTGTTTATTTTTCCATTCCAGCTTTCGACCGGATAACAGACAAAAATGTCCAACAGACCGCGAAATTACTTGCAAATCGTTAAATCTGTCTGGAGCGATGCATTCGGAATTTAAATAACCATACATAATAATAATCGTTCTATATGCGTAAATACACGTAAATATTTTGAATCTCTTTGCAGAAAGCAGACTTGGCATGCCTCAAAACACACAAGTGTCAACAGTTGGTCGATCGAGTACAGCCAACGACAAAAGAAAAGAGGACAAAAGCATCGAGATATCGCGACAAAGTTTGGTAACTCCACCACCGTTGGCGTTTTATTTACAGTCAATGGTGTCAGAGTTCCCACCCCTTGACGCGTGATACAACAATCACAATATGCTCATTTATCCTTCGATAATTCAGTTTATCAAATTTCGTAATACTTGTATCTTTGAGATATGTAAAATGTCAACATTGTATTAACACTTGAAGTGAGAAATAAAATTGCTCTGATAAAAAAAAGTGTATGATTTTTTCATGAAATTCGATCGTTCGTATAAACATAAGGTCCATTAAGATTATCATTTTTTAAAGATTGCATCAATAACAAAATAAAAGTGATCGGGTTGATCAAATTAACTCGAGTAATCGCTTCAAAACCAAAACATCGTTATAATTGATGACCTCCGGAATGAAATGAAAAACTGTCTGCATTACCTCTTTACCGACGTCTGTTTCCTACATTTGCACGATTTCACTTAATTTCTATTGATATTATGGTTATATTGTCCAAATTTGCTCATTTCAACAAAATGATGAAAATTTGAAAAATCGTCATTCAGTTCAGTTTTGTAGAATTTTTATTGGCAGAACTCTAAGTTACATTGCCAGAACACATTGTAGATGGCACTTAGGCATGAGATACAATTAGTAATACAGAGATGGAGCTGAAGTATGGGACTTCAGCGCGAAAAACAATTTTAATAAACAGTAAGAACTTAGACACTAATTAACTTATCTTTATGAACATAGATTAAATTTTAATTTTTATCTGATTTATAAATGAAGATATAGCATAGATAATGTTAGTATCATTTTTCGCAAGTATCGCTCTTAAGTTAAAGGGCTCAAAGTAATTATGTGAGTTAAGTTGAGATACTAACTCTTTCCTTTCCTTTGTACATTTTTTACATTGCCAAAAAATATGTTCAATGTTTTGTTCGGATTGACCGTCGCAATCGCACAAACTACTTTCGATTATTTTGAATCTGTGTAAATCAGCTTTCAATGAGGTGTGATTACACCTTATGCGATTGATAGATACTATAGCTCTTCTATTCAGATATTTAAATTCAGAGAACCACGGTTGAGCGTTTTTTTTATAGAAAATATTAAAATATAGTTGCCCTTTATTTTGGGCCATGTTAACAATTTTTTCTTGATCTTCCAAAATACATTTTTGTTTAATTACAGAAAAAATGTCAGAGTACGGTATTTCTGCTTGATTTATTGATCCTGATTCGGCTGCTGCCCTCGCCGCAGTATCTGCATTTTCGTTGCCTGTGATACCTATATGGGAAGGTACCCATATGAGCTCAATGTCTTTGTGCATTTGATTAGCTTTGTACAATTTGTCTCTCAACATGACGATAAGAACCGATTCTGTTTTATTAGAATTAAGGTTCTGGAGTGATTTTAAAACAGATTCAGAATCTGTATATATTTTAAACTTTTCTTTAGTAGAGGTAAGAATTGTATCGACAACTGCATGTATAGCAAGCGATTCCGCGGTGAAGATTGAGGCCGAATCATGGATTTTGTAAGATATTTTAAAATCATCGTCTTCGGACCAGGATGCAAATCCTACCGAGCTTGCGGAGTCTTTTTCATTTTCTCCAGTTAGAGATATTTTTGACCCGTCGGTAAATATATGTGTATGTTCGCTATCTAAAAATTTACTACTGAAAGTACATAGTGCATCTTCAGAATCTTTTAATATTTTATTAGACCGCAAGTCAACAGATGGAACGAAGAGTGATGAGTGGTAACTATAATTATATTTGTAAAATAAACTGTGTCTGATTATTGATAAATTATAGAACCATATATTTTCGTAGCATTCCGTTAAAAGAGATTTGCTGTGATTATGAGCATATACAAGGTAATCATTGAGTTCTTTAAGCGTCTCGAGTTGGTCAAGTAGTATACTGTTATGATAGGACAAATGTTTGAGTAAATATTTGTAGCCTAAGATTTTGAATCTACCGTTTAGGGAGGGTACATTTGTTTCGGCTGCAATGACACTTAGAGGGGTGCTATTGCGATAGCCCATAGCTATACGAAGACATTTGTTCTGGACTTTATCGAGTTTATCTAAGTTAGATTTGGCACACGGATGAATCAAGAAACCGCAGTATTCTAGTTTTGACCTTATCAAGGATTTATACAACATGAGAAGCGAAAAATCGTCATTTGCAAATTTACGTGTAGTGCGCCACCTTACCCAATAAAGGCAAAGCTATAAGCAGCCGATAAAGAAGAAGCTTGTCCAAAGAAAGCCCCCCTATGCGCTTGCAAATCGCTCCGATTTCCTATCATGAGTACGCGAGCGAAAGTCAAAACACGCAAAGCTCGTATGGACACGTCACAATATGCTGGGCCAGTAGTTTGAGCGCTCGGCGGCGCATGCGCCAGCGAAATTCTGCCACTTGTCAGGCAGGTATGTATACTGTAATACTACTGCTCGCCGATCGTCTGCGTATGATATTTTGCTGCTGCTATACTACCGCTACATTGCCGAAACATATACACTGCTAAAGCACTGCCTTGCCAGTGTCGTCCACCATTCTCTCACACGTTGACCCAACATCGCGCACGACGTTCGTCACTCATCTGTGATTTTTTCCTTACTGTTGAGAGAAAACAAGTCTGTGATCATGTCGAGAACGTCCAAGGCCTTCACCAAGGAAGAGGAGCTCCTCTTGCAGGACTTTTCCAGGAACGTTTCCACCAAATCGTCGGCGCTCTTCTATGGCAATGCACTCATTGTCTCTGCCATTCCCATCTGTAAGTGCTTACCGTATGGTTTTCACAACTTTGCTCCATTTATTTAATCTTTTATCGATGTCAATTGGTTCCTTCGATTGAATTTTTTTGTTTAAACTAATATTTTCTGTCACGATTATGCGATTATTTTACTGATTAGGTTAGGTTGATAAGATTTGCATTATATGTATTTTTTATTACTATGCTGCAATGTTTAAATACAGTTCAATCGTGGTATATCTTCGTGATAATGACAATTAATAAATCGATTCAATGCAAAATAATTTGTCAGCAGAATAAGTTGATTTTCAGTGAGATAAATTGATTTCAAATCTCTACCTATGTTACCTTATGTTCACCTTATGTTTACACTTGACTAATTTCATGTTTCATTTACAGGGTTGTTCTGGAGAATCCATCTCATTGACTTGTATGCAAATTTGATCTCTTTTGTTTTGGTCACCCTCATCAGTACCTATGCACTTGCCTTTGCCTACAAAAATACAAAATATATCTTGAAGCACAAGGTAAGTTTTGATTTCTACTTAAATATGCAAATTAAACTAGTGATATCTATTATAATTTTCCTCTTAATTATAAATAGATTGCTGTCAAGAGAGAGGATGCTGTCAACAAGGAAATGAGCCGTAAACTTGCTGAGGATAAGAAAATGAGCCGAAAGGAAAAAGATGAGAGGTAAAATAATTTTCATCTCTGTTTTAATGACACATTGGAAAGTTAAAAATAATGAGTCACTTTTTCATAAGTATTTTGAATATGCCTCGCGTTTTTTCTCCAAAGAAAGTTTTGGGACATTTAAAAAGCTCAAAATATTTATTTTACAGTTTACTATTTCAAATATTTTAGTTTTTATTTTACTATTAAATGTGGATACTTAGTTATTGAACACTATCAAAACTGACTAACTTATTCTTCCACTAAAGGTGAAGTTATTATCAAGCGCACTTGATTATAACTTTTTTTATAATAAAATTCTCATTTTACTGGCTTTATCATGTTATGTCGAAAGTATTTATTAAACGATTGCATTTTCATTTCAGAATCTTATGGAAAAAGAATGAAGTTGCCGACTATGAAGCCACAACTTTCTCCATCTTCTACAACAATGCTCTTTTCTTGGCCATCGTCATTATTTCATCGTTTTACATCCTGAAAACCTTCACACCAGCCGTGAATTACATGGTTTCCGTCAGTTTGGCCAGTGCTCTTCTCGCCCTTCTTTCCACCGGATCACAATAAATTGTCATATTGTGCCCTTTGTTGTCGCCCACTCATGATTTTTTTTATTTAAGCAGCTATCACAAAGTGCATACTGATATTATGAAACCATTCCCTTATTGTTTGTTTTGAGCGTTAGATTCAATTGAACCATCAGTCCTTATAATTGATGTAACATTTGTGAAGTATCAAATATCTTTTTTATACTCGAGTAAATGAAAACGAGAATGTATATATTATATACTAATTCAAAAATATATTTATAAGTTGATTAAAAAAACAACGATGAGAATATAAAGAAAAAGTGCGTAATTTATTATCCAAAAAGGCCTGCAACGATTATCTCGGCCGAGAGGCATACAGGTTTGAAGCTTTGATGAAAATTTGGCTGGCGCCGCGAGCGTGCGTGCGCGCGTTATGCTTCCGTGGGAAGAGAAGAAAGCTGAGGCTTTTTCGCGCTCTCGATTGTGATCCAGAGCCAAAAGACTCGGGCGAGCGTCGTGTAAAGCGTGGCAAACTACCACCACGGCCGATTGAAAAATGTTTGGCAGAAAACCAACAGCTGGCTTGGAGCATGTAAGACTCTCTCTGGCTCCTTCTCTTGCTTAATGATTGACGGATCATTGTGTTATTATAAAGCTTGTGTTGCGAGCCTATATAGCGGCACGAATACACGTACACCTGCAAGAGCGATATTTATGAAAGAGTTAATTTTATCACTTTTCCACCCGCGCACAAAGCATGTAGCACCTCGGCTTCGCAAGCCCAAGGTCTCGACTCAAGCTGCACCTGCTGCCGAGAGACTTATGATGCATTGGTCGCAGATTATTAATTTTCCGACGCTGCAGATGCGAGAAACTCACTTGTACCAGCTAAGAAAGCGAGGGTGAACAAGCTCGTCGGATTGTGTGTTAATTATGAAAATTTCAACGGGCTTGCGCGAAGAAGCTGCACGGGCCAAAGCTAGAGATTTGAACGCGCGACGTGATCATTATTTACCTACTCTGAGAGCATTTAAAATCGTGTACTCACATTTTTCCTTCCCTTATTTTATTTTTTTCTGTGCTAGGTTCATCGTTCAATTAGAAATTAAATGAAAATTTCGAAATTCAGGGTATGATTAAACTTCTTCGAGTCTATATCTTTGGATTCTGTTCATTTAAAAATACCTGGGGCCAAAAAATTCAGTTTGCAGCATAAACCCAGATTTTTTTACAATTATTTTTAACTCGAAGCGAGAAAAATTTTCATCTTACGCGTGAAATTTTTCACACGAGCTCAACAGTTCACACACCCTTGAAACAGAAAAAAAAATTAAATAATTGTATTAATGTCCTCAAAAAGTCAATGTATTGCGAAAAAAAATGACGTGGTTAAAAGATTTCGCATCTCTTATAGCCGCTTTCAGACGGTGTTGTCAGTGTTTATGGGGATACACACGCGAAAAGAGAGATAGAGAGAGCTGTGCTCTATACACCGAGCATCAGAGGCCGAACATGTAAATTCTATTTCCGTAATATTTATAAGCTCCCACAACGTACACAAGCTGCCACGCTTCAAACCGCTGAATATTGATGCGCGCTTAGTTGCTTATTATTTTTCAACATGAAGAAGCGCCTCCGCTTACTTTCCGCAGCTGTTATCCGCTTCGCGGGGAAAATCCATGCCCTAATTGTTGTCCCATTTTTCGACTTTTCTCCGCGCCGAGATTTTCAAACACTTATGTTTTAAATATTATCAATTTTGCCGATAAATTTGCACTCTAGGGAAATTATAGTCAAATTAGTGAGTTAATTTAAAATACGTGGCATCATAACGAAGCTTTCGACGAAAATTTCGCAAGCTCGTGATACTTTATGTTATTATGATTAATAATTAAAAGGCTGCGTAAAATTTATGTACATTATTGGTCAAATTTAAGTAGATAATTTTGAATAATCTCTTCTAAGTGAACACGCGAGCGTCGCGTCGGGCAAAAATAAGAGACGCTGTACCTATATCAAAGCGCTCGAATTATTTCGCTTAAAAACGCGCAATTCAATTTTGTCCTTTTCACCTTGTTTACAACAATTAATCGCGCAAAAAACACGGCTACGTGCGTACACGCCACGCGATTTATAGTTGCAAGCTCTAGCCCAGGAATTCGAAGATCTATTTCTCGATACGATTAATCATCTCTCTCGATGCCGAAATCGATGCTCGAATATTTTGTAGCTATTAGCTATTTTCTGACATTGAAATCCACCGCGAGTAATTCTCTATAGTTGCTTGCTATTTTCTGAAATGCAATGCAATAATTCGTCGACGCAAAAATCGCAACAACAGAAACATATCGTTGGAAATTATCTGGGAAAAGAAATGAGATTTCCATGAGATGTCTCGAGCTCAAAAATACTCGACGCGCTTACAGCAGCTTTGGACGATTCCGCTGAAAAAAGCAGTCCCGAGGCGTCGACGCGCGTAAAATAGAAAAAAAGTGCGATAAATAGCTGTAAATTTCTCCAGCTCGGCGTATAGCTCACCTGATCAATGGAAAAAGCTGAGCTCGCACGCGGGTCTCCCCCGTCGCTCCTCTCCTCTTCTCTCTCTCAATGAAAAAGCGAGTCCGAAAATAAACGCCGCGTATATCCAGACTGGAACATGCATTTTAGCAAGCAACTGTACGTAGCTCTTCCCTTTTACGTATAGACCGCGGGCCGAAAGCTCAGTCAAGTAATAGTCTTCGCGGCGGTAACAACCGAGTGCGATTAACTAACACGTACATACTTATATATTGTGCGGTCGTGGTGCTGTGTGATTTGTGCCATTGACATACCGTAAAGATATCTTTGTTAAATTTTTTTTCTTAAATTTAAAAAAAAACAAAACAGCTCGCCAAGATGGTATGTGCTATCGATGATTCATTTGTAAGTCGCCGACGTCCTGGTAAAAGGAGACGATCCAGTATTTTTTTTCTTTTTTGTATCTTTGACTTTTTTCTTGCCTGTTCTATCTCTACTGTTTTTCTACTTTTTTCACTGCACGCGCCATCAATTTTCGGGCTATCATCTCTACAAGTGCCAATAATTTTCTCCATCAATGTTTTATTTTATAATTTTTTCCTTTCTATACTTATATGTACGAAGCACTGAGAATTTTACACCTTTTTGCGATGAACTTTTACTTTTCAAGCAGTCCCTGAAATTATCAAGTTTAAAAGTCTCCGCTCGGATTTCGCGCGACTTGGTTATTAAAATATCAATTTTTATTATTCATTACTTATCCAATACAATGAAACACGAAGAAAAAAAACAGTCCATACGAAACGCGCTCGCAAGCAACATATATTATTCTCAGTGCCCAGCTATCTTTCTACTCTGTACACTCACATATGTCATGTTAACACCGATTGCAACTCTTGTGAATAACATCAATAACAGCAAAAGCTCCAATAATTCAGTCCGGTAATTGAAGATTTTCGCGCTTTCCGCTCGGCCGTGCGGCACACCAGTCACATACACACGGCTCCAAGTAGCTACCCAACTGCAGCACATCATCGAACTCCGCAAGCTCGTAAATATTTGTCCAAACTTCGCTGGCCTGGCTTTAGGCATATCGGTAAACAGGCGCGATACGGTGCTCTCCTCCTAGAGGCAGCGCAATTTCCTCGCTGCTACCGACTATTTACACTTGTACTTAATTCGACGACTGGTATTCTTCTTGGCCAGGTGCCAACGAAATTTGTTTACATTTTAAAACAAGCTCGGGTAGTAGCTGCGCGAACCTATAACTTTTGAAAGGGCGCGTGTGTACTCGTAAAAATAATACTTTTTCACTCACTCGCACACTTTTTCTACTCTTTACTATGAATATGTATGCCATGTAAACAATTATAAGACAAACGTATGACTAATTTTTTATTTTTTTCCACATTCTTTCCCAAACCTGCTCGGAAAATATACAGGCTGATGAGCTGCCACCAGAACAGATCGCTGGTACGTATAAAATATATACAAATGATACGCACATACAAGTGTGCCGATTGCAAGATGCGTTTTATATATTTTTCTCTCAAATTGAAATAACAGCGGGCCTGTACACGACTCGTCTTCATCTTTTTCTTACCTTGGCCATTAGTCAAAACATCCCACGCAATTTTAAACGTTATAATGCATCAGAAAATCCCGGCCGCGCTTTTCTCTCTTTCTCTTAATTGTAGAAACATAATACGTCGCAGGAATATCAGTAACAAACAGTTATTTAGTCAATTTCCAAGTAGGTTGCCAAGAAAAATATGAGATTCATCGTTTTATGGAGGCTGTTCGCTAGCGGGGCTATTAAAATTCGCAACACTATCGAGAGAAAGAGAGAGAGAAAGAGAGAGAGAGAGAGAGATGGAGAGAGAGACCAAGAGAATGGGCTGCTGTGCTGCAGCGTGTAGCGGCACGTAATCCGTCGCGCTTGCCAAATTTCACCGATTCGCGCGCATAGGCGTATTTGTCAATCGTCGTTGGGATATGTGCCTGTTGCTCTCGCGCTCGGCAGCTCGTACTTATCCGCTTGAAATCGATGATCGACCGCGAGGGCCGGCCGCTCGCTCGTGTTCGCGAGATTACAACATTTTCCGAACGCCATGAGACTCTAGGCACAAAATCGGGTCAGCCCTTGCGATCGTGACGCCGTCGACGCCGCCGCCGCCGCTAAACTTAGTCTTGAAATCGTCTAATACACGCGGTGCAGAACTGCGAGTGCCGCGCCGAAGCGCCTATATGCTATCTTTAGTTTTCCCTTGTACACTTTCGCCTCTCGTCATATCGAGCCGAATGAACCAACTTTTCGTGCTTTTTTTTTCTTTCGCGCTCTTCGATTCCAAAAAAAGCCAACGTCTATTTCCGATCGGCCGATGTGTCACAAAAAATCCGCACGAGCTCGTTCTCCACAAAACAGCAAGAGAGGGAGAGAGAAGAGTTGCGTATTCGGCTTTACAGCGATGTACCATATTACACAAACATGAGAGTGAGAGAGAGAGAGAGAGAGAGAAAGAGAGAATGAGTGAGTGAGAGTGTATGCGTGCGTGTGTGTAGGTTTATTTACGTTTGATTTAATCGGTCTCACTCCGCCCATGCAAGCTCTAAATTTAAATTTTGCCCGCTTGTATGAGCGCGAGTCTACGGATGTATCAAATGTAGAAATTATGCCGACCTCGATTATTATAACATAAATTTGCTCACACACCGGCTGCGACTGTTTCTGCGAGGCTTATACGTCATAAAAGTCCAGCGTGAGCAATTTGTTGTTTCGTTTGTCGCGAGCGCTTCTTTGTATGCTAGATGCGATCCACGTCTCGCTGACTGTATAACTTTATAATTCATTGTTCAATTCTCGGGCTTATTAAGCTCGTCGAAATGGCGACGCAACGAAGGAGAAAAGCCCGAAAGGGCCGTAAATCGACCTTGCCTTATAGCCTTTACGGCGCGGCTCCGAAACGAATTTCAATGGGTATAATAGCTGCGACGTTCTTGCATAGGCGCATTTTAGCTGCTTAGCGTGTGCAGCTTTCGATTATCGCTAAGCGACTATAAAGCTCCGAGTCGGCTCCCGACTTGTCGATTGACACCGTATCGCAGGGGCTACTATAGTGCTTAGCAAAGTCACAGGCTCGAGTTCGGCTTCGTCATTTTTCCTCGGACGCACCGAGATTTTTTTTACCTTTTTCCCGACAATAACAACAACAAAGTTTCAAAGATCAAAAACAGCTTCGTGTAAAAGGCGTGTAACGTTAAGATATATCGTCAGACAGCCAAGGATTTTTCACACAAGCGGAGCGACGTAAAAATGAACAAAAGTAAGTTGGTGTCAGTGAGAAATGTTTTTCATTTCGTAACGCTACCCGCAATGTTCGAAAAAGTGGCTGTAAGGCAAATAAAAAAGGAGGGAAACGATGATATTTTGATGCGAAAAATCAACGAGTCGAGAAGCGATGTACTATATAAGTTTATAAGAGACCGAGGGGCATTAACATTTCGTTGCTAAATTTGTCGACTCGACTGTGTAGTGACTATATATCGCATATAGGCGTCGTTGCACGAGCTCGCGCCACAGAAATTTTTGTATATCTTGGCATTTATGCCTACAGCACTTGCAATCGTTACACTCGTTGGAATGCCGATGAACGCGATCGATTAATCGATACAATTTAAATTTTAGTCCTGCGCAAGGCCTTCGACAGTTTCGACAGAGACAAGACCGGCAGCATCTCCACCGACCTGGTCGCCGACATCCTCAGACTCATGGGACAGCCCTTCAACAAAAAGATCCTCGATGAACTGATCGAAGAAGTCGACGCCGACAGTGAGAACCATTTTTCATTTTTATTCTGTGCACTTGACCAAATGCATAGTTACCAAATAGTAAGCTCGATTGCCGATCCGTTTCAGAATCCGGACGCCTCGAGTTCGACGAGTTCGTGACGCTTGCCGCCAAGTTCATCGTCGAGGAAGACGCCGAAGCCCTCGAAAAGGAACTGCGCGAAGCCTTCAGGCTCTACGACAAAGAAGGCAAGTCGAGCCCCGAATATATAACGTAGCCAATGTCGACGAGAAAATAATTGTTTAATGCTCGCCTCGTTGTTTGCAGGAAACGGCTACATCCCAACGACATGTCTGCGTGAAATCCTGAGAGAACTCGACGAGCAGCTGACGGACCAGGAGCTCGACATCATGATCGAGGAAATCGATTCGGATGGCTCTGGCACCGTCGACTTCGATGGTACGTTCGAATTTTTCCTGCCTGCAAATTATATATCGCGCGGTTCGCGTCCCATACGGCTTTAACGACGACCAAAATAACGGCCTGTGCGTCCAACGCGCTATTTTGGAATTAATATCATTACGCTAACACCTCGCGGCTCGCTGCGCTTAATGGATTTGCTCGCTAGAATTCGAACTTTTCCCATTAATTGGGCCCGAATCGAGGTGGAAAATATATTAATGAAATCTTTCATTTGCAGAGTTCATGGAAATGATGACTGGAGAATAATTCAGTTGATAGCGACAAAGTGCACCTTTCAGGCAGTTATTTTTTCTATTAAAAAAAGTAAAATCATAACTTCAAAACTATCGACTAGTGCATTCGAGTACGTATTAAGCGTCGAGAGGCTCAAGACGCCGCAGAAAGAAAATAAGAGCATCGTATAAAACAAAAGGAAATCATGGGCCAATTCTAATTTTACTCTACTACTACAACTACTACTGCTGCTATTGCTACTACTTCCTACTATATACTCAGCCCGAGCTGCACGATTTTTTTGCTGTACGGTGGAGCTTCTATGGTCAACGTCTATCCGTCGTCGACGATTCTCTTTCTTTTTCTTTGCCTCACTTTTGCGTCGCTACGAGAAGACAAAAACACACATACACACACCCACATGCACAAACTTTTATTTATTATCAGTAATTATCTCACGGTAGCTCAATTTTCCTGTGCTATTTATTTATACAGACTAAAATTATTTTTTGTATAATGTACGTTTTACTATTGTAATACACAAACGCTGTTAAGAGTAAACACACGAACACACATGTAAAAACGTAAATTTTTGTCATATTTATTGCTCAAAATATAACTTTATTGTAATTTACGATTATGCCTGCAGACAATTAATTTTTTTTCATCTACAGTATTTATCATTGTTAATAAAAGACTATAAAAAAATTTACGATTTGGGAAGGTGTCATTTAAACAAGCGATTCAAGTTTTTAAACCATTTATTTTTTTTTAACTTCCAATCAAAAATTCACTATATGACTTACAAGAAACTCATGATAATCATGAATGATAGAGAGTTTGACAAACATAACGTCGTCTTTGAGCGACTTTAGTTAAATTTTTTCACAGTTTAATAGTAATGCAAGCATAAAGATATTAGTTTCTAAGCTAAGTACGAAGATGATGAAAGACTAGACTTTTGTCACGATTGCTTTAATTATTTTTTCTTTTTGTTTTCTTTAAATCTCCAACAAGCAAATCAAGCTGCAATTATCACATATATAGGCGTTAGTAACTTCACTTGCTTTAGATAAATCAGTTGGTCGAGGGATCGACAATGATGTGCGTGACGCAGAAAAAACATGATTGCAAAACGAAACTTATTTACGATATAAAAATTGTGTTTTATCATTATCACAGCGATGGACATTATATACTTGAGTTTTGACATTTTTTTATACTTGAGACAGAGAAATGATACTTATTTTGATTCTTTAATTAAAATTTGCTAAATATATATAATATATATATGTGAATCAACTGGTCCTCTACTTTTAAATTTAAATTAAATAACAATTTATAGTATTTTGATAGCAAGAAAAATGCTTTCACACAAATGTTCTGCATTTTTAGACATATACAGACATCAATAGGTATGGTTACATACGATTCTTTTAGTTTCCTTGTATTTTGGTTACTGTTTAAATACAGAAGTTTTAAATTTCTGTGGATCGGATATAATCGTAAATGTGTAGACATACACAACGTTATGTGTTAATATGTGGATAATAGCAAACTCATTCTTTATTTAAACTTCGTCTTCGGTAATGGAGGGATTCCGTTCATTTAGGATCGACTGTCACTTTTGGAATAAATGTGGAAACTCGTTACTGATTTCTCGGACAAGATTTTGATCATCTTGACTTTCGGGTTGTTCTTCGCAAAAGATCCTGAAATTGACAAAATGACTCGTTAAATTTTCATATTTGAAAAAAATTTCCAATTCCGAATGAACGATTTACCTTGTAAAACATTTTAAAACGTCTTCGGAGCGGTGTCGATGCTCCTCGTAACTCGACGTATGGAGCACCCTTCGACATAATTCCAGGTATTGTCGTCTTTTTTCACCGGGCGAAATATCGAAAAGTTGGCGCAAAATAATGTCAATCAGAACTTTGATATCATTAGTGTAAAACAAAGAAGCTGTATCGTCACTGGCGAACAGATCAATGAATAATTTTAATATTGAGTCGGGTGGAGCTGGCTCATGATCGAATACCCTTACTGGATCGACTGAAAGTAAAGAATGCAGCATGAATTTTTCAACTGCATCAATTATACGCAAAGTATTGGGATAGACTTACTTTCACGATTCAAAAGTAGTAAAATTTTTTCTGTAAATGTTTTGGCAACCGATCGCTTTTTTAAAGCTTCTATTACGACATTGTCTGATGAAGTAAATTGCAAATTATATGAAAGTATAAGATTGATAAATAGATCAGGAATTTGGTCATCCAAGTCAGTGTCAGGTGGATTTTCTATGAGGTCCAGCAGAAATGAAATAAATTCTGATCCCAATTGATCTGAAAAAATTTCCCATTATGTATATTTCGATTTTTTTTTTAATTTTTCAAAAAATACCCACCAAAATGTGTGATCGGCATTGGCTCACCCATGGAAAAAATCATAGTCAACAGCAATGAGGAATAATTTAATTTGGCTACGTTTCTAGCATTACTTTTCATATCCCTAAAATGAAAAATGTATATACAAATTGTTATAATCTAGATATTTGGCATCAGAAAATATTTAAATTACCTAGCAAGTTCCATAGGCAATATACTTTCTAACATAATTTTTACAATAACAACATCCAAACTGCACATCACTCCAAAAGACTGTAACAAAAGTTGTCTGATTGTCCATCTGGTTTCCATTTGATAATACTGAATTAGGGTAGACACTCCGTCATATTGGTTTTGTCTCAAGATATGCCTGGATACATTTGCATCAGCATTTGTCTGTAAAATTGTTTAAATCAGTGTATTAAACATATAAAAATGTTCTTTACTGAGAGTAATCAGACAATGCTTACTAAAATAGATGTAAGTTCTTTTATGTATTCACAAATGGTTGGTTCGTCTTCATACAACATCCAACTTCTTTGCTGAGAATCTTCTTTGCATGAGGTCAATTCATTAAAAATAATTTTTAATCTGTTTGCATCATAAGTTTCTTCAATAGTCAATTTTGTCAAATTTAATGGCACTTGCAATTGAGATAAAACAGCATCAAAATAATGACTTATTTCAGAAGGTAACATCTCTTGTAGTCCACTCAAAACAACTTTTACTGCTACTTTTGACATTTCATAACTAAGTTCGGTGCTATGACGTACTTGGTCCAAAAGTAAATAAGCTGTTTTTGGGTTTATTTCTGCTAAACTGGAAGATCTACTTTTTGACTGAGATTGACTGGGGGATTTGTCATTGCCATTATGAGAGCCATTTTCTTTGTTATGACTAGATTCTGAACACTTTTGTTCATTCTCAGACTATTGAGATAGATAAAATAATAATAAATTTATGAAATAAAATTGAGTTTACTAAAGAAATATAACAATTTACGCTCACCTCGGATGGTTTTCTGTTTTTTTCAACAATATCATTTGTACATTCAAAATCAGGTGGCAACGGAGCTTGTTTCTTTGAAGTTAATCCTAATTCAGCCTGGCGTTTTTTTTCTTTTAATCTAGAATGTATATCTGTCAGATCGGTTTCAGAAGATAACTTATTATCACTATTATTAACTTTTAATCCTGGTATCGCTGTTTTAAGAAAGTTAAGCAAGAACTCAGGAGTCACTTTTACAATAGTAACATAATTGGATGGTATATAACCAACTTGACCTTTATAGTCTACAACTAGCCACCAATTTTTCTTTTTTGTAACACTTGGATGACATAATAGAAAACAATCACCTTCATCAAAATTCAGTGCCCTTCCATGAGTATTCTTGAAGGGATAGAGTGATTCAAGCATTTCATATTGTTCTGTAAAGAATTTTATCTTTAATATATAAAATTGTTGATTAAAATATTAATTTTTTTTGAAAATTGTTGGCCCTTCTACAAGTAACTAAATATTAGAAGTGTCGATTTACTTTTACGTCTGATGGTTGTAGTTTGCTTTGCATCATTAGACATGATTATTCACAAATTTGACACATGAAATGTTAAAAATTTCAAAGTTGTATTACAGCTGTTTTTATATAACACCGACACGCCTAATCGGTTTTTAATTTCTTTTTGACACGCGATAATAGCACACGACGATAGTTAAGAATATTACTTGAATAATCAGAATAAGAATAAACTAAAAGTTAAAAAAAAAATCAAAACAGGACACGCGTGCTATCGCGTCAAAGTTTGACATATATATCACTAAGTACAAGGACGAACCTCGCGGGCAACACATCCCCACTTTGTTACCCTCGGCCTGTGTATATATGCTAAAGTTGCAATACGCGTATATAGCATGCTATGCTCCTCGAACATATATACTACCTATATGTATAATGACTGAAAATTGAGAAGGGGATGCTTCAGGGTCATATCACTCAGACATATATTAATGAAAACAAAATGATACTCATTCTACGACACTTACCTAGGATGATGTGGTTCTCCGAGTTCATTTTGACATTCATCAACAATGAAACTGCGTATTTTTTTCACGTAGGTTGTGACAACGCCCCTGTTCAATTAATTCTTAAGGATACCGGCCTTGCCGTGGAATATGAAAAAGTTAAAAAAGTTGAAAATGTAGAAAAATCGATAAAAAAAAGCAGTAAAAACTGTGGGTTTCCTCATTTATCCAGCAGATCTGGATATTTGATTCAGAATTGAGCACTTCAGTGACATATATGGCAGAGCCGCCACCAACGTAGTAGTACTACCACCACTGACACGGCCTCACGGGTCAGTGATGCTGTTCTGTTAATATGATGCTGTGTGCAGACGAGTGTTTTGATTAAAAAGTGATATAACGTATATTTTTGTTTCTCTTCCACGTAGCACCAATACCAGTCATCGTACGAGTTTTGATTTTCGATTAAACTTTTTCTAAGGCATTATGAAAAATTATTCATCTGTCGTGCAAAATCTTTTTATTTTTTTTTTATTAAAAAAAATTGTTAATTTTAGAAAAATATTGGTGCAGTTCAATTGATTAAAAATATTTTTTAATAGCACAGCAGAACGATTCTGTCGAAAATTAAAGGGCCCGTTCAAAAATGACAGGCGTTTGACACATTACGAATTTTTGAGCAAGTGTCGAGCCGGCTGCGAGCCGAACGCTTATACATACTGTGTACAGCTATACATGGTGTCGGTGTGATAACAACAGTATTATTGTCAGCATGGCATACTCCGTTAATATTTCGGTGGAAGCACCGATTGAAAATGAAATTCAAGAAATTACTTTTGATGGACAAGAAATTTACAAAACGTAAGTCGAATTGTTCAACTTGATGATGGTCTATCTCGTATTTTACTTTGTTGTTCACGTTTAATCTTTTAACTTAACCTCTAAACAGCTTTTCAAATATTATTTTTTTCGCGCATGCATCCCAATAATGTTTGTCAAGGGCAATCATGCGAGTAATTTTTAACTTTTATCTAATTCATAATTTATTAAAACTATGCAACTTTACACTTTTGCAGACCACCTACTCTATCTGAACATTTGACGAAAATAGCTCAAAAAATTGATTTCGGTAAAACCAATGATGAAGAAAATGCAAAAGATCCAACAGAAAATTGTGAGAAAGTGGATGAAGATAACAAAGATCCTGCTAATTTTCAATCACCTAATTGGCCTTGGGAATCTCTGAGAAACAAATTACGGTATGAATTACTTACAATTTCCGTTTTTTTTCTTTAAAAAAGTTACATATTTAAAATATTACAATATTTTTTTAGGGAAGCTTATACAGAATTATGTGTACTGGCAGATGTACTTGCCATTGCAAAAGATAAACGTTATTTGGTTCTAGATCCCATGCCAAGAGATTCAACCGAAACAAGCAAACCATTGGTTCAAATCAATGCTAAGAAAAAAGCATTAGGTTTAGTTGCCAGCATATTAACTACTGGTACTGAACGTATGAAAGTTAATTTGAATGAACAAGCAAGAACAAGATCACCAGATTTTCATATAGAATTATTGAGACTAAGACAAAATTGGAGACTGAAGAAAGTTGGTAATGCTATAATAGGTGATTTGAGTTATCGAACTGCTGGCTCTAAATTCAGTCAAAGTGGAATGTTTGAGATAACCAAAGCAGAAGATGACGAGAAACCTGTAACGTCGCCATCAGAGTCTCCTAATCCCAACGCTGTTGTGCCAAGTAATAAGAATGTATCTGCTTTACGTGTAACCATTCCTCCTGAACTAGAAGGCATAGCTTATATTGAAGTCCTATGTAAAAAAGGTAATAACTGATTAGAAAAATAAAACTCATTATACAAGTTCACACATTATTTACAATTAATGAATTATACCGTACTTTAGATCAAGAAGCTCTTTCTAGCGCCAACATAACATGGTTGAACAGTGGGTCAGGAAACACTATTGATCCAGATACTCATTGGCAACAGAAGTTGGAAGCTGCACAGAATGTTCTATTTTGTAAAGAACTTTTTAGTCAATTGGCCAGAGAAGCAGTGCAGTCAACTTCACCAATACCACATATGGTTGTTGGTAACAGAATTATGGCTACAGTATGAAAAAATTATACCTATTGAATCTTATTAAAATCATGATTTAGATACTAATCAATATTTTACTCTACAGATTCTGCCTGGCATACAATTAATTATAATTCTAAGACACAGTACAGGTGGTGAAAAAAAACCAGTTCCACAAAATACAGATCATGATCATGTTCTTGAACATTCATTACATCAGCTCTTGCGAGAAGTTCATTATAAAAATACACATCATACATTTCCACATCCATCATCTGCTCCTCTGGGTCCCAGCAAACGAAGATGTTTGGCAGGTCCTACTGCAGCTGATAGGCATGAATTAGTGGAAATGACAAAATCGCAAACCCTCTTAGAACAAATTATTCAACAAGCTCAACATGCTTTCATGAGACTGAGAATTGGTTATGTATTAGACACATTGGCCAAAGAAGTTAAGGACCCACTGATTGTTTCACATTGGACATGTTACAACTCACCTACACAATCAAGTGTTAAAATAAATCTTGTCACGCATGGTTACGATCAGTTATCTAAAACTTCTATGATTTTACATATATATGAAAAATCATTAAAATGTATATGTAAAGATGGTCGAGTGATGAATTTGAGCTACGAGCCACAGGAATTGAGAGATCTTATAATGTACCAGGTAATTTTCTTAAGTTAAATTAACAATTTTATTTTTCAATAATTTATTTTTCATAGTGTTAGAAAACTTTTTATTGGCTTATGCTTACAGATTTATCAACATCAAATAAGTACGGTCCAAGGTTTAGCAAAATGTATGGGTTGGCAAGTTTTAGGAAACAGTAATGGATTAGGCCTTGGTCCTGTTGAACTTTTAGGAAATGCCAGTAGTTGTATACTAGCATCTCCTAATGGGGACAGGTAATTTTTTTCATTAATAATTAACTTTATTGGCATTATAAGTATTCATGAATTGAAAATTTACAGAATAATATCTATGAGATGCGAGCCACAATTTGGTATTGCAGTTTCTATAGCACACTCACCAAGGAAAGATTTTTTCCCTGGGCAGTTAGTAAAAGAAAGAAAATGGGAAAATCTTGGTGGTTCATTCAAAGAAGTAAGATGGGATAAAATGGAAGGTAAAAATTTCATCAACAAAGTAGAAATGCTGATGGCATCTCTTACAAGCTCTTAAAGACTACTTTTAAAGAGTTATAGAATTGAAGAGTACATTTTAAGAACTATATGTTTTTTGTCATTTTTTGAAAAATTAATTTTGTATTTTGCCAATGGCATTATACATAAAATCTAAGATCTTATGTGTAGTATCTTAAATAAGGAGAAGTGTGAATGTCGCATATTTTTATATTTATCTATGAAAGAAAATTGTGTAAAATTTAGCAAAGAAAGTTATTATATAGCTTATTTTAATTTAAAATGAAAAATTAGTTTGTTATAATGTAAAAATAAATAATTTGACAGCAGCAGTTGAATAAAAATGATTATCTTATTGAAGTCTTGAAGTTACAAAATTAATACTTAGTTATAATGAATTTAGTCTCAATTCACATTATTTTACATATTTTACAATGGTTTTAACATGAAATAAAAAATGAAGTTTACAATGTACTTATTTAAATAAGTGAAAATATAGATAACTTGTATGATATTTATCATAAGGCTTTTAATTCTGTTTTCAACTGTCTACTATTTAGTATGCAGTTTTACTTCAAAATTAAGAAGCTCCAAAAGTACATCATTGAAAGTATAATAATTATAAAAATATAATGTACAAGATAAAATTTATAATTATGCATCACAATTAATCTATATTTACTTGAACATAAGAACATCCATTAGTTGGGGAACTCTTCCATTTGATACATTAAAAGCTACAGCAACATTGATGAGTAACATTGCATAAAGAGTGAATATACAGGTAGCATGGTATTCTTCAGCATTAAGTAGAGTTATAAGTGATACAAACATGTGTGAACCAACAACCCAAGTAATTAAAAACCAATTTTTATTGTCAAGAGCTGCAAAAAAAGTTATTCCCCAAAGAGTATGTAACATTATTATACACAAAGTGATCCCTGCTGATACTATGAAAAAATATTCGTTTCCACTTTTAAGTCCCATAGTTGCAGGACCAAAGCTTTCAGACAACACATTACTCATAGAAAATACGCCGCTCATGATACCAAATCCAAATCCACACACATATGAAAAAACATCTCTACTATCAGAAACTTGGGCTGTTGTTACTTTTTCCAGACCTTTCTCAGCTCTCCTCAGTATTTTGTAGAGAATAAATCTGTAACGAGAGACAAGTTAAATTAATATCTCAGAAATTACTAAGGTTTATGAGATGTTAAAATATTCACCTAAAAAGTTCTTGGAAGATCACAGAATAGATTAGTCCAATAAAAATGTACTTCCTCAGTGGTACAATAGCATACCAAGTCAATGAACTAATCAAAAGTGATAATAACCAACAGAATGCACTGGCTATGAGCATGATGATTCTAATAGGTTCTATTGCAATACTAAAAAGAAACATGAGGAAAGGTGGTCCAAATGCAATAGTTGCACACCCAGCAAAACCAATTCCAGACATTTTTCCGTTGTTAGTGTCACAGTTGATTAAAACGAAGTAACTTGCGTTGCCGATATCCTTATCATTTACTATTAAAATAAAACAAGTTTCAATATTTTATCACAACGTAAAAATGAAAATGTAGAATCTTAAAATCTTACTCGTAAGTGTTGCGAGTTCTATTGTTTATATGTGGTCCTGCGTTTTTATCCGGTATATAAATACACGAATATCATACCACTTTTGATGATGTAGCATTCGTTGCAGCTTTTAATATTTTCTGGCTTGTCTTGTAAACGTTTATTTTCAGTATAATAATTATAAAGTTTACTTTAAGAGACTTTGGTGAAATAAATTGAGTTTTTCTAGTAACCTCAGCAAAAGGAATATAACACGCGCACGCACTCACAGCTCACACCGACGCGTTATACAAAGCTGGCTGTGGAAGGAGATGACAAGTCGGGCTCAGGCCTTTGCGGAGCTTACCAGTCGAGAGTCGAGACCTGTCATGAGTCACGTATCCAACTGTCCTCTTCATACACAAACAAGCAGCGGCGAATGGCGATTTCACTAGTTGAGCGTTTGTGCGCGGTTATTTTGAACCCGACGATTGATGGCATTCGTATCCAAAAAGAATAATTTCCGAATGCTATCGAGTCCTTCACATTCGTATCCACTACGTGTTATTTCTTCATTCTGGCGTATCTTTGCCAAGTTTCTTCGAAGATGCTTTCTAAGTTTGTTGAGTTTCATTCCAGGTAAACGGAACTACGCAGGTAAACTCGCGAGCCAAGTTGGCAGATCCGGCCGCGAGAAAGGTGAGTAGGCTTCTAACAGTCGCAGTAGTTTCAGTCGATTCTTGGGCAGTGTTACAGGTCTAGTACTAGATGAACCATCCGATGTCCGAGAAGTCTACTCTCTGCGGCTATTCGAGCATCGTAAGACCGCCAAGTGTTCGGAGGGTCCCGAGTAGGGCAAAAGCTTGTCGGCGAGATTGTCCCAGTGCGATGTGTCGGGCCTCTCGAGATTAGGCAACTCCAAAAGCTTTTCCGCTCGTTCTTATGTTCGTATTATGCTGCAATATTGACGTACTTTGACGTGTTTCAGGCCTATGTTTATTTTACAAGTGTCCCTCAATCATTCGACTCATGAGTTATCGATGAACACGATTCCACGTAAGACCAACTTGCTTCAGTGAAACGTATAGTGTGCTCACGATGCAACGATAGTACAAATTGTGTCCGACTAACGGCGACTATAATTTCACAATCGTCAGCTCAAGTTTCGGCATATCAAATTTCGTCAACGCAGGACAGGAGCGTGCAAAGGCACATATGTAAAGTCGAATTCAAAATTCCAAAGTACCAATATACGTCCGACGACATGCATATATTATGTAGTACTGAATAAACGGACTTTCAATGGTGTCGCTGACAGAAATTTCTTTTGCAAGTTCTCCGTCAAGTGACATGTTTCGAATTATCATTAAAAAATTCAACGATTTAGCGACATCTGAAAGCTCGTACAGCTCCATACAGTGAGAGGATAAAAAAACCTCATCGAACTTTCATAATCGCGTTGACGGCAAGTATTTTGGGTTCCAATTACTCGAACCAATCTCATTTATGGGTTTCTTTTTTCGTGTCGAACCACGACCTTGCTTAGATAATGTTCATTATATTGAAACAAATAAAGCTCATCTTCTTTCATACTGTTTGCAGTATATCCACTAGTTTCCAATGCCAGTAGACTGAAAATCATAAGAGTCAGCAAGTTTTCGATCAAATTATGAGTGTAGCCTAATTTTAAGTAACTCGTCAATTAACCATGCTTATAAATAAATTGTCCGTTTTCCATGTAATTTCAACTAATTTTAGCTTTGATATCGCTAAATTTTTCTTCGTGCAACATGCGACATCGTGCTCGTATACACGCGAAAGTATACAACAAATTAAAATATCTAACATGAAACGTAAAAAATGTTGATGTAAACGTATTTATCAATTTAAGATTATCTTAGGCCGAGTTAAATCATATTCTTATCTAGTTCAATAATGCTGCGTATGTGAGTATAGCAGGTTGTATAAGATACTCATATTGTCTTTACAGCACGTAATTGCATACAATAGCACACAATAGTCCGATTCCTACCTTCAACGCTCGAGAGTTAATATTACTTCTGCTCCTGATATAAGTATAGGTACTTTGTGTATATATCCATGAGATACACAAAACGATCGACGTCCTGTCAACATTCGCAATCCTCAGGTTATGTTTGCATATGCAGGTCCAGAAAAACGTTATTTCATATATAAATCAAGCAATATTTTGAATTGAGTAATAAATATGTGGGATGAAGAAGACTCGACGGATTATCTCGTGCAGCCGTCATCGGTGACGAGGAACTTTTATCTTGGTTTGGGTTTAGCTGTGCTGTCAAGTGGATTTATCGGTTTGTAGACAATTTTTATAAGCGCGCCAATTGCAAAGTTTTAATGGTTTTGTGAAAATTTAATCGCGCATCATTTTACAGGTGTCAGTTTTATTATTAAAAAAAAAGCTCTGGTAAGACTGCACAGGTATGGCAGATTACGAGCTGGTTCAGGTGGATTTGGATATCTACGAGATTTTACGTGGTGGGCAGGACTATTATCGAGTAAGAATATCAAGTTTTATATTCAGCCTTTTTTTATTCTGCCAGTCTAATTGGAATAAATATTGTTTTTCAGTGGGTGTTGGTGAAGCAGCCAATTTCGTAGCTTATGCATTTGCACCTGCATCATTGGTCACTCCTCTAGGTGCTTTAAGTGTTTTAGTCTCAGCTGTGCTAGCATCGTATTATTTGAATGAACATTTGAATTTATTGGGAAAAGTGAGTGATGAAAATCAAAGTACCAAGCTGTTGAATGGAATATTATTTATTTTATAAAATTAAAATAATTTTAATTCTAGATTGGTTGTTTGCTGTGTATTCTGGGTTCAACAGTTTTAGTTTTACACTCGCCAAAAGAAGAGCAGGTAGAAAATATGCAAGAGTTATTAGAAAAAATGCAAAATCCAGTTTTTGTGACTTATGCTTTATTAGTGGTATTTGGTTGTTTGAGTATAATAACCTTTGTAGGTCCATTGTATGGCAAACAAAATGTTCTTGTATATATTCTTCTGTGTTCATCAATAGGTTCAATATCTGTAATGAGTTGTAAGGGACTTGGAATAGCTTTCAAAGAAACTATGAATGGAAATAGTGAAATGAGTAATTGGCTCACTTGGGCTTTGCTTTTTCTATTGATATTATGCATTATGGTACAAATGAATTATCTCAATAAGTCTTTAGATTTATTTAATACTGGAGTTGTGACACCAATTTATTATGTATTTTTTACTACATTTGTGATAACAGCTTCTGCTATATTATTCAGAGAGTGGGAGCACATGATTGTAGAGGATGTCATTGGTTGTATTTGTGGATTTTTGATAATTGTTATAGCTATAATATTACTAAATGGCTTCAAGGATTTAGATATAAGTTATCAAGATGTCAGACACATGTTCAGACCAAAAAGAGACATTCTTGGTCAGTATGATATAAAATGGGACAGTCTTAATGACATAAATCATGTTCAATATAACACATATAATTATGAGAGTATCAAAAATACTAGGTCTAAGTGACGAAAGGATTAAAAACAATCTGAGTGTTCTGTGACCAAGGAATGTAAATGGTTACCCAAGGTAAAATTTTAAATACAATAAGAAGCCCTAACAGATTTTCGCAAAACTGTTAGTTGTTCTCTGTTTTATTGTATGAGCTTTTTTGCCTTGTCTATGAGCATATCAATTTTGCAATCAAAACTAAGGAAATACTTGAAATGTTCTAGTCTGCAAGTTTTGCATTGTTCCAAAAAAATAGCTAATTTAAATTATTATTTAGTAAATATTTAAAAATAAAAATGTTGATTGTGACAGGTGATATTTTATAACTCTCTATCACAGTGAACAGTTTAAAAATTTTGTGCAATGGTGATGTATTTGCATAGATACATTCAATTTTTATAAGACTGTTAAATTTCAATTAGTAATGTCAATTATGGTTGCTACTTAATGTAACATAGCATGTACAAGCATATTTATCAAAATGTTAAATAGCTATAAAAATACACATATACCATGTAACTCTATTTAAGAATATTTTTCAACATTTTTAACCATTTTTGCTGAAGCAACTACAAAAACTATACTTATTATACATATGTACATTATGAACTATTCATAAATTGCTGATAATTTTATGAAAAATAAAATATTTTTTATTTATATTCAGTTACTTATTTTCAAATCTTTCTAACTAAAGCAAAAATAGTTAAATTCAATGAATCACATCAGATTATCAAGAGTCTGAAGTAGGTGAAATTAACATACTAATTATTCTTTAGAAAAAATAATATTTAAATTGAGTTCAACATTTAATTTTTTAGTAAATCATCGATAATAAATACAAAGGAAAGTTTACATTCGATTCTTTTCATTTCGGTAACTGAAAAGTGAGCATAAGCTGTGTAATGTTTCAAACACAGGTCGGTATTTATACAGTCTTGATATAGGCAGCAACACAGGCAGACTTAACGTGGCTGTCGGGCCTGTATACGGGGAGTGTTCAGAGTGCGATCCCCGATCCATCATTAGACAGACTAGACAGTCGCGAAGTTTGCTTTACCAAGTCAGTTCGCTATTCGCATGCGTCAGTTCAATATTTTTCCATCTCTGTGAAAAATGGCGTTTGGTTTAGCCGCTTTTTCGTATATTGTTGCGCTGATTGTTGACGCGTTTCTAATATTTTTTTCAATATTTCATGTAAGTTCGACATAGAATTGACAGTTTTTAATGATCTAACGCAAATGATTGTGCAAAAGCTCAGTGTTCCAATCAATTTTGGCACCTTAACCTCGTTAATAAGAAGCCCTAATAGTCGCTCTGTTTTGCTTGTTCATTTACGTTATCATATGATTAAGAGATTTCGATATATTGATTAAAATGAGAAACGTGGATTAAAACTTTTGATTTTTGTATTTAACAGGTAATTGCATTTGACGAGCTCAAAACAGAATTTAAAGATCCGATTGATCAGTGCAATAGTCTGAATCCAGTGAGTTGAGATTTATATTCAAATTATTTCATGAATTAAAGATTTGTGTCAGGTGATTGTTAATTTTTCTTTATTTTACAGCTTATACTTCCAGAATATGGCTTGCACTTCCTAATAAATTTCTTCTTTTTAATCAGTGGTCAATGGCTATCCTTAATTTTGAATATACCACTCATGGCTTACCATATTAACAGATATCGTACCAGGCCCATAATGACAGGACCTGGCTTGTATGATCCCACTAGTATCATGAATATGAATGATCTCAACAGATGCCAAAGAGAAGGTTGGGTCAAATTGGCATTTTATCTAATAACATTTTTCTACTACTTGTATGGGTAAATATCATTTTTACACAAAAAAAAGTCGATTTTAAAACTTATTTGTTAGTGGTATTTAATTATCAATAATTAATTTTAATTTTCAGAATGATCAGTTCATTAATCCAATAAATAAAATTAAAATCTTAAGGATTCATCTGCCATGTTACCAATAAGGGAATTTAATAGGCAATGTTTTTATTAATGTAATTAATTTATAATCTATGGACTGTAAATATGTGTGGTGTATTTTTAACTTTGTAAATGTACTAGAGATTTGCTGGTAACTTTATAATTATAATTCAAGAATTAAGAATACTTAAAAGTGTACAATAGTCTTAAAGTAAGAATAACAGATACAAATTTTAAAGGATAGTTAAACAATAACAGTGGCTCGCAAGTATTTTTTTTAAATATATTTAATATGTTTGACATTAATACTATTCAAACAAATACACAATTAACAAATTTTTGTTCAAACTTGTCTTGAAAAAAACTTATCGTTTATAATTATTTTTATTTTTGATGTTATTTTTATGTTGTCTTCCAATCAAGACATGAGAAGTGCTGGAGAAAATTTTCAGACTATTGTCTTTAATTGAACGACTATAGCTATAAAAAATTATTTATATGGCTCAAAAATTTTTTCATAAAAAATTATCAAAAATTCAATATTCATATCAAATGGCTCGGCTTTTACAATTAAATTCAACATTCAACAATACACTTATTTTCTTAATTAAATTGCTAATTGTATAAATATAAAATTTAGTTGCTTAACCTTAGATTGAGTATTATATAGTCAATAATTGTAGAAATATTTTTAATTACATCTATAAATGCTGTAGAACATGAAAAATTTTCAAATACAGTACACGTATGTGACATAAAAAGTGGTAGAAATTTGTTTAGGTAAATTTAGTCTTCTACCTACTTAAATTCTCTTTGAGCCACTCTTCTGTCAACTCTTCAAGTTCACGAACTTCATATACTCTTGTTAATCCAGCTTCACGCTGCAAAACTAATTTCATACCAGCATAGAGTACTTGAAGCTCCATTTGAATATCTCTTGGAGTGTAGAATATGAAACACATGGGATACGAAACTCTTCCGTCATCATGAACCATCTTGTAGCTGTAGACAATGTATCGTGGTTCATGTTCTGGAATGATATCTTGTAACTCTTCTATTTCAATGCCCTAGTTAAATTTGATCACATTAATATGACACAAATAATTTAATCTGATATAGATAAAATGTTTGAATGAATATACCTCAATAAGTTCGCTGAAGCAAATTTTTTGCTTTGCTCTGTCAATTCTTACTGTGGAAGTTAAACATATATCAATGATTTTAATTTCAAATTTTATTAGTCAATAAATTTGAAAATTCTTACAGACAAGTGCAGCATTTTGCTGGCTTTTTCTGAATCTGAAATCCTTTAAAGCACCAATTACTTCATCATCAATGTCGCAAATGTTGTTAGAACTCTGAAAAGTAAATAAAATTTATTACAAAAGTTTAGACAAAGATGCAACTGTAAGCGGATGAAGAAGCTTATTTCAAATAATGTTTTTCAAATAAAATGAAAACAATATAATTGATAGGGTTCTCTTGATAGCACTCGCAATTAGCACTGTGCGCTCTCAAATAATACATAAATCACGTAAGGTAAAAATGACAAAAAGTTGCTTCACTGCCGCCTCTTTTTCATTATAATTAAACTAGTTAAAAAACGAACCATTGTACTAAAATCAAAATATAATGATGATTACATATAAGAGTTGTTAGCATCGAAAGCTGTTTTTGACACAGACAAGGCATTTACACAAAATTATTCGGTAATTCGACTAAAAAAATTCAGAGTCAATTACCATTTTGAATAATTTGGATGATCGCGAACACTGGTGGTAGGTTTTTTCCTCGTTTTTGGCAGTTGGAGTGCGTGTCGCAGTTGATAGCAACGGCAACAATACGGAGTTTGATGTACGTGTTGTGTGTGTGTGTATATATTCACTAGAGTATATTATAGACACTGATCGCAGACAGTGGAGAGTCGCGCTCGTTGCCACTGGATGAGCACACGAGAGAGACGCTCCTCTCGTTGCCTCCTACTCTAATTCGCGGGAGAAAATGTCGGGATGCGTGAGCCACGAGAGAGGGAGTGACACAACTGCGCTCACTCCGTGCACGAGCGGGACTCGCTTACACGGGGAGGATCGGAGCCGTCGATCGTCGCGTTTACAAAAGCGTTATTTAAAGGCTTTTGAGAAATTCGAACCGATACCTACGCTACCGGCTCTAGGTGGCGAATCCTATGGAAAATAACGCCGATCGTCGAGCGTCCATGAGACGCGTGAGTAAAATATTGATCGTAAATCAATTGAAGCGTCGTCCCCGAGATAGAGACTAAAAATGTGTATAAGTAGCTTTATAGCAGGAACACCATTGGAGGAACTGAGGAGTTGTACATAAGTTCATGAGTCGAGTTATTATTTCCACAGAAATTCGCATCGTCTTTTAAATTAAAAAGCTCGAGCTGTCAATATGCTAAAAAGCTCCGTATGCGTTTTTTGGCCTAGTGGTGGTTTTCGCGCTATGAGTCAGCTGGGATTCTGCGCATCGAAGAGAACCACTAAGTACACCTAAGAGCAGGCCAGCAAGCGCGGCCTGGCTGCGTATACGGGTGACTAGCCAGCTTGTCTGCCTGCGTACGTAATGTGCATAACGTTGGCCTATGCACTGCGTGTCTGAGTATACGTCACGCGGTGGCGCTGTTACGCGCCCGTGCTGCTCATGTATTGCTATTGCGATCGCCTCGGGCCGATGTTGTTACATGTACGCATAATAATACTACACGCCATGCACGGCACACATAGAGCAGAGCCGCCTATACCTATAGGTATATATAGATACGGTGTTAGGCCGTATCGAGAGAGCCGACGGTGTAGACTGTAGCCCCTACCCCTGGGCCGCGCGCACCAAATGTGCAGAGCCTCGGTTAGGATAGGCGAGTGTGCGCGGATCGCTGCAGCGCCGAATTTCCAGGCTTACGTCCGACTGTGCGGGAGGTGCTGCTGCCGCGCGGCCATGTTTGTTGTTGTCGTGCGGGCGAGCTCGACAGATCTCTCCTTCTCTCTTTCGCTCCCTCTCGCACACTCGTGCGTATACTAGCCTAGGTATATACAGTATATACTGTACTCGACCGTACGACTCGAAAAGCCTCTGAGTATCGCCGCTGCTGCAGTCGCACTTCTCGACACTGCGATCTTTTTTCTCTCTCTCTCTCTCTCTCTCTCTCTCTCGCTCGCGTTATTATAATAACACACGGACGGATCGTGCTGCATTCGCGTCTGGTGCGCTATGTGTGTGTAACGCGCTGTACGCTACCAGCGACCAAACTCGATTGAATCTCGCGTTTATTATTATTATATGCGTGCGCGTGTGCATTGCAAGTGTCGCGCGACTTCACAACGCACTACGTTGAGCTCGTTCAGCTTGACCCTAGGCTTAGAACCTCTGTGAATGTGTGTGTGTTGAGCCCATCAGGTGCTGGTGCATGTGTGTGGCAGAAAATTACAAACCAGTGTGAAATGCATAGGGCTGCTATCGAGCAACAGTAGCAGCAGCAGTGCCAGTGCCAGTGCCAGTGCCAGTAGCAGCAGCAGCAGCAGCAGCAGTGGCAACAGTATAATCGAATGCAAGACTTGCCGTGTTGTCGCTGTCCTGCAATTCTCAGCTGCGTATAAACACAGACGAGAAACGAGTAATATCGTGCCTCGCTTTTCATTTTGTGGCATAGTGCAGTCGTGCCTTTCTTTGCGATAAAAACGCTGAAATTTGAACGCAAGTGTCAGTGAAAATATCGTTCGACTCCGTTGCCAAGTCGGTGATGCTGTGTGCCAGTACATAAAGTCCTTCCCTTTTGACTGTTGAGCACAACTAGCACCCGTGCGTGTATTCATATACAGTACTTACACACGCGTGAGCGTGTATACATGTGCAAATAGCAGCAGCTGCACTCACGAGCGCAGGTAAATATCACCTTTGTTTTGTCTCTCTCTCTCTCTTTCTCTCTCTTTCGTTGCGTTGTACTACGCACTGACTATACCCTTTTTCAGCTCGTCTGTCTCGTAATAAAGTCTTATAACCTAAAATGCAATTGCTTAATCGAGTGTCGTTATTAGCCGTCTTATCCATAGGCCGCGGAGGTGCACAGTATTTCTTTGTTCTCTCGGTCTCGATCTCGCGTCACGAGCTCGTCTCCTTATAGTCGAGACAGAATAAGAAACAGAAAACGACGGCAGAAGGAGTATTAAATGCATTCGCCTTTAGCTGTGGTGTACGTGGGCCCGAGTCTACCTCGAAGCTACAGCTGAAAACGATGAGAGAAAGAAAAGGAGATAAAGGACGATACGCACGGACTTGAGGTGTGCGCTTGTGTCTGTGTGTATATGGCGTATACATGAATTGGCCTTACGCGCGTCTATGTATGTGTGTATAGAAATGAGAGAGAAAACGAAATGGAGGGGCTGTATATACATATATGCATACGCATATTTCTTTCCATGTCCCTCTTACTCGCGTAAATATACACGCACACACCGACACAGCGATGTAGTAGGCTGTCGAAGATGAAGTTAGTTTATATATATTTACCGACCATAAGTCTTTGCCTGTGTGTAGCGTGTTAAATTTATGTGTAAGTTGCGTTACGTAGGTGCACGCGGACAGACGTACAAAAGGCACGTATATTTCATGGCAACGGGCGATATAAGATATGGGGGTCGTCGTACGTTCTTGGACGAGTCTGACGACTCATCGCGACGATTCCTCAAGGACTTCATCATCGTTGTTGACTTTTCGCCGAATCTTCGAGGGAGTTTTCGGGTCGGCGATCGTTCAGAACTAATAATTTTTCATTACCACTGTCGTGTAAACATTTTATTACTCTAAATTTTTATTACTATTGATACTAATTTGATCAGACAAGTTTATTATTATTTTTTTTTAATAATCTCCTGCCCTCATACTGTATGTTTCGGTGATAATTGAAGTTAGCGAAACGCGTGATGCTTCTTGCATAGTTCGTTTAGAGATACGCGTATTTCGAAAATTGATGCACAAATTTTAGTTACTTTCTTGTTTGACGTGACTGTAATATTTCCTTAAACTACAAATACGATAATTCGCGAGCATCGCCAATCAACGTCGATACAGTTTGTGATTTATCGGAAATTTATTGAAGCAGTGGTTAAGCTCTAAATTATTCTTGATAAATCAATACGATTGACCATTAATTTCTCAAGTTAAAACTGCTAGGCTCTTAAAACGATCAATACTCAAAATAATTAAAAGTTTTTTGGGCAGTGGGTGTCGATTTAATTTCGTTTGTAGAGTAGCCACATGAAAAAGTCAATCAGAAGCATTTAATGCAATGGCAATTGTGCGAGGGCAATGCATGCAATGTGGATTTAGTTCTCTCAAACCGGTGCGCCTTACTGCGAAGTAAAATCGATTCTGAGCTTCTGCGATACTACAAGCGTGAATCAGCTGTTCTACTTTTTTTTGTCCGGGCTTTTAAGCTTTTCCCGCTTCTCTTCTTTTTTTATTTCTTATATACATATTCTTTGCGCGTACTCATTAAGAGCGCGTTTGACACGCTGAAAGTTTTTCTTTTTCTCTTACATCGCATGAAATTGTACTTTCGTACTAATTGCCTCGTTGTGTTGAAATTGAACAAATTTTAATCTCAGTCGGTGGTTTTGTTTCTCTGGCATTTTTGCTTTTCTTAAAAAAAGCTTTTACTTGATTGTAAAGCGTAAAATTCGTCTCTTGGATTTTCACGACGATGACCGAAATCATGCTGCGTTAACAATTCCATTCATTCACCTGTAGCCTTGAGTCCGGGCTTGTCGTCGAGCTTTCATTAAACTTTGTTGATTTTCAAAACTCGAACAGACCCGCTCACTTATTCAAACTTGATCCGAATCATTAAAATTCTAAGCAGTGTCCATTGTTTGCAGAATAGATTCGGTGGACAAGCATCGCAGCGGCTTTCGCCCCTTCATCTCGATCGGGAAAGCGAGTCAACAACAAGGAGAATAGCAGCAGAGTGACGCAAAGCTGCAGGGCTCCGTTTAAAGGAGATTCGAGCGCGAGCCACCTTGATCAAGGCCGGCTCTAGCGCGCTCAGAAGCTGGCGGGCAACCTGGCTCGGTCGCCCGCCGTCGTGGGCGATGGCGGTACCGGACCCGCCCCTGGGCCACAACCGAACAACAACAACAACAATGCAGCAGCTGCAGCCGCCGCGGGCATGGTTGGTGCCAACAATAACAACAACAACAATGCCGGGGTTGCTCAGCAGCAGCAGCAGCAGCATCAGCATCAACATGGCAGAAACAACAACAACAGAACAGTCGGAGCTGTAGTGGCCAATCCTGCTGGCGTTCCGATTGCCAGTGGTTCCGGTGTCGGACACGCTGCTGGTTCGGCTATCAATGCTGCTGCCGTCGCTGCTGGCGAGTGGGAAGAGAATGACGAATATTCCTTCGACGACTCCGACAGATTCGAAGAGGACTCGCTCTGCAGCTGGAGCAGCGAGCCCGAATCCATCTGCAACAATTGGCGAGGATGGAAGCGGCCCATCACGGCTTTCGGCCCTGCGAAGAAGTGCTTCGAAAGTGAGTACCGCAATTTCTTTGATATTTTTATTCTTTTCCTATATATTATATAGGATATACCCGCAAGTGCATTTATTTGGCTTCTATACATGTCAACAACGCGAACGAGGTTGCCCCAAGCGTATCGTGTCTATTGTTACGTCGCCAGTCGACTCGCATGTCTCACAATTGCCAAGTCTTTTTTATATTTGCATAGTCTCGTGCGGCAAGTTGTTGGACAAGGTCGGCGTTTTTCCGCCTTGAAACACCTTAGACATTCATTTTTCGTCTGTCGATTCTGGGAAGAAAATCGTATGGCCCGGAAGAAGAAAATTTAAGTAAATCCACGAGCCAGCTGAGCTCCGGGGATCGAAACAAAGAAAGGGGTTCACGACGTATTCCAGGAAAAGTAATCAAGAGAAAGTATATATCGAGAGATGCCGCGAACCGATATTGATCTTTTCTTTTTCATTCCGCAAGACATTGCGCGTATTTTACAAAGCGTACAAGGGGGCTCTATGTGGTAATGAAGGAAGACCCTAAATAAGGGATATGCAAATTTCAAACCTCATTAACATATACACAACTCCATTTTTTTCGTTCTTTGTCGCTCTCTCTCTTTCTTGCGTTTTTTTTTATTCAAACGTTTTTTTCCTCTTTGTTATTTTCGATTGCACCGAGATGGGTGCCAACACAACAAGCAATTTTCTTCGTTTGAAAAATTTCCCTAAATCTATGTATCATTTTTTTCTTTGGAGTTTCGTTATGCGTTCCTGAATTTCAATGCGCACCCTAGCGAGAGAAACATTTGCTGTGATGGTAAGCAGTCGCGTTCTTTAATGTTTTTGCCTTGTACATATGACGAATAGTTACTTTCCCGTATAAAAAAGCTAGCTACTTCAAAAGCTAAAAGAGGTACTTATAAAATATGAAAGTTTGTGAAATATTGTCGAAAAAGAAATAGAGGAATTTGAAAATTATTACAAATTTTAATGCTTGTGTATAAATCGTATAAAAACAATTTATTACGAAAATAAGGATCTTCTTCCCGGACCCCTTGCTCACTCGCGCAACATTTCTGTAGCCGAGTAAATACGATAATTACATCTCCAGTGAGCAATTACGTGTAAATTATTAGCGATCAAATGAGAAATAGTTGTTGAACCTGTATGAAAAGGGAAGGATGTGTTGCGTGCATGCAGAGAAGAACAATAATCCTTGAACTCGTGGATTGAATTGCTATATCGATTTTTAATGCTCATCTCGGGGACCGTTGAAGGCCGCGATCCAACATTTATGAAATTGACCCTCTTGATCGTTAAAATTACCGCATAAGTGCATTTCAATATTTTGATGTACTCGCTATGAGTGAATTTGTACATTCCGACTCAAAAGTTTCTGCCTTAGATCGCGTACTGAACAATTTTTCAAATCTCTCACATTGTCCAGCACTAAAATATTAAACTTAATTTTAATAATACAGTCCTCAAAAGTATTTGGGTATTTAAAGAACTTTCTACCGATACGCTTTTAAACATTGACCAGCGGATAATGCACGTGGGTAAATGTCGTGTGAAAAGGTGTAATGTTGCGAAGATGGCAATAAATTACACACGGAGGGCCGAGACGTGTTTTAATCCTTAGTTTCTTTTCCCCCTTTCCTTTTTCCAATTTCATGTAGCATGAGATGATTCGTTATTTTTTTCGTTAGAACCTGCACGCCGTCGTTCTCTTGTTCAGACCCATATTTATCTTTTTTTCTTCACTCCCTATAAACTCGTTCGTGAACTCGTAAATATCGATGTACTCCGAAAAAGTTTGAGAGAATTGCTATTTTTTCTTCATTTTGGTCGAGGATGCGTGATTTCGAAACCCTCATTATACGTTCAACATCTAAAAAGTTGGAAAAATGTACAGTACTTCGTTGGCAATTACGAATAGTTCGACATCGATGAACTTGTACTTAGGTACTTATTGCAGCCAATTGTCGATTGAGTAAAACAATGTATGCTTCTCCCTCTTTTTTTTCTAGCTTGGTCAGAGAGCCAATCTTGCAGTGGTTTGAATTCCGTCGATAGCACACGTTTACCTGTTGAGCATTTTACATCAGTATTATATCGATTTCGCTATTCCCAATTGGACCTCCTTTGTAACGTTTTTAGCGATTTTTTCGCTATCGAAATAACATGCACTAAAAATTTAGTTAAAATTTTTTTATTTATTGTTTTGAAAAAGGAATTTTTAACTTATTCTAGAAAAGAAATATTTTAACTTAAAAAGAGTCAAGATTACGATTTTGATTGTACGTTTACCGAAATATTTACATACGTATACATTCATCCATATCTCTTCTTTCTCGCGGTAGCGGACTATGTACATTCTACTATATTACTACTCCTCTAGCGCTGCTTGCCGTTGCTACGGCAACCTTATATATCGATTTCTCTCTTACCCACCCCCTACATACATAAGAGTTAGAGATAGTATAAAGCTCTCTCCCTACTTCTCTGTGCTGGGAGGGTTAGATTTTGTTCTCTATCTCTTTTTCTCTTTCTCTCTCTTTTACGCTGAAAGTATAACCAAATTCTATGGAGAGGCTGTTAATTCGAGAGAATTGGTTGATGCGATAAATTGATCTATTTAAATAAATCAATGTTCTTGAGAAAAAAATTATTGCGATAATTGACGAATAAAAAACTCAACTTTAAAAAATGCGTGACGAAGAAAGAAAAAAATTTGTTTTCTAAATCAACTACATACAGAAAATGTTGAGATTTCAATTCAAGCTTTGAAAGGTTCTGCGGTATTTTTGCTGCTGTGTCACACTTTAACACCATGCGCGCGAAACGTCAAAAAGGTCTCGACTTCCAGATAACGTGACATAAAAGCACTTGAAAAGCACACGCGATTCTCAATACACTTGACAGTGAGGATTTAGTTACATCTTTTCGAATCAAATTTTGAAGTTTTCGTTGTTATCTTAGATATTCAAATTTTACAATCGAACTCGTGCGAAGCGTCAAAAAATCTAGTCTCCAATCCAAGATTCCACGCTAGGTGCTATTTTCAAAAGTGCGAGCTTATACCATTTTCGAATTTGCATTTTTCCTTTCGAACTAACTTTTTTTATTCAACGCACAAAGTCGAGTAAATTCAGCATTTTTTTTTATTTCAAAGAAGTCGTGAGAAAAAAATTGCTCCATAGTTACAGGGCGTGGTGAGCAAGTGTGTGTATGTGAATTTCCCCCTTGAGATTTGAAATACTTGAGATGATGATGGTACTTGAGAGTAACACGATTATCTTGGTGCATTTGGGATTGCGAGTTTATTATTTGGCTTCTTTTCAGCGTTGTTATACACTATCTCGAGCGCCTTTTTTGAAGAATATTGTTAATCTCGTGTGGGTATCGGTAAAAGAGAGCTCGATGATTCCACATTATCTACGTGACGCAGACCGGAGTCATTGTAGGTCGCAATGCTGCGGACCCTTATTATTATTATTTTTTTTAACTTCAGACTTGATGTCAAGTATCATCATCATTATATATTCAAAATAAAGACATGAATAACCATGAGGATTTTTCGTGTCTTCTTTTCTAATTTTGGTAAGTAGTAGGTGCAAGTAATAGGTAGCAGAATTTTCTTACTATTCCATATAAATAACGTATAGAAGATCTACTGAACAGGCAGATCGTATACTTTACTGATATGCATGCGTATTCACATTTAGGTTCACGATCTGAGAGTGACTTTTACTACTACACGATACTAGTATTAAAAGACACTAGAACGAGAACTATGCATCTTTATACATTTGCTTTCTTCCCTTTAAAGGGTTCAGTGATCTTTGAATACCCTTTCCTTTCATCCAATTCTCTTTTGAAAAAATACACATTTTATACGATTGCTTGGACTAATTCATTATTGCTTTTACATCGTTTTGTTTTGTGCTTTTCAAGAATCGATAAAAAAAATTAATTCCAAAAAAAAAAATTTGTCCATTTTTTTTGAGATTATGACAATACACACAAATGCGAAGTGATAAAAGAAAAAGTTGTTTATTTGATGAAACGACATGCTCGAATTGTTTCATTAAAAAAAAGTCGTACAGGCACATACTTTTTCGAAAAGTCTTATAAAAATTAGGGGCTTCAATCCAAGAAATAATATGCCCTGAAAAAAACGGATGGAGGGATAAAAACTACCGTTGTGATCGTTGCTCGCCTTTAAGAGTTTGGCGATTTTTAAATTGTAAAGCGAACAAAACGAGCCGCAAGAAGCGGATAGAGGCACCTTGCACCGCGGGTTCGTTCTCCGCACGCAGGTGCGTATAGGCCAGCTGATCGTGCCAAGGCATCTCTCTTCCTATACCTGTTTATAAGACTTCTTTTCATCCATCAGCTGCTGCGCCTCTCTGTACTTACATGTACGCACCTTTGCATCGAGCAAGGTCAACCGCGCTGCCGAATCCCAAGGTGCAAGAGAGAAAACCTTTTACGCGTGGCTTGCATATACCTGCCTTGAAGCGGCGATGTTGCTGCCACTGCTCCTCTTGCTGTTGTTTCATTGTCTTGTTCCACAAGTGTACATTACGCCTTTCTTTTTAACTCGATGTTTATCTTTAAATATAATATAACGAAGGTCCGGGATGGTTTTCGTTTTATAATGGTCAGCGACTCGGATGCTTTATTTCGGTCTAGGTTTCTCTTTGTTCTGCGACAAAATGCTTTCTTCTTATCTTCCTTTTTCTCACATTGCATTTTCTCTTCTTTCCTTCTCTCTCTCTCTCTCTCTCTCACTCTCTCTCACTTTATTTACTTTTTTTTTTCTTTTGAATTACATTTTTTTCAACAATGATTTTATGCACTCATGATCTCAACTTTATTCCATATTAATGAGTGGTACATTTCAAAAGATATAATCACAATTGCCGGCTGAGTTAAAGTATATTATATCGTAAAATTATATGCAACGAATTGAATCGAGGGTCAAGCCTTAATCGTTATAATCATTCATTCATTACATGAAATCGTACTCCTTAAACATCTGAACAGATTTCTAAATTTAAGCCTTTTAATACGTAGCAGCTCCATAAATAATTGTCCGCGACATAAATATCTTCTTAACAGCAAAAAGTCCATATATATTGCCGCGCGACAGTTTCAGTGGCTTTTTTTAGTGTAGCAGCATGAAGAACGTAATATCATAAAATTCAGTTGGGAACTCACCAAAGTGGACCTCGCCACTCCGGTAATGTCTGGAATTCGTTTGATAGATCCTCTGCTTAATCGAATGCAAGTATCGATTATATTGTATTATTAAATAGATAATTTACCAAGAAACTTGTACTTTCTCCAGTGTAAAAACTTCGCTCTCGAGCTTGATCCTTTTTGGCTGCTGTGCCATGCGCGCACATTGAAATTTCGAGAAACAGACGCCGAAATGGCAACGTCGCTCTGAGTATAAACCCCCGATTCATAAAGCAGCATAAAGTAAATATACACGCGAGTAAAAAGGTTGGATTCCAGGCATATTTTGTGTATACGCAAATAATAAAGGTTGCGGGTCAGTCTGTCGGAATAGAGGCTCATTAAAACGTATTTATGAAAAAAAACAACGAAAAAAAAACGAAGAACAGCAACGATATCTGTCTCTTTGAAAGAATTGAGAAACCGGTTGCATATTACAATGATGTAAGGTCCGCACTGAATCGTTATATTGTGAAGAAAAGTTCTTGAGGATCAATGAAATCTATTTTAATTTGACTTAGTTTAGATGCAGCTTATGGGTGATTCATTATTCAATGAAAAATTACTTTTTCCAAATATTCGTTGATAACTTGTTACTATTACCACAAAGACCATTATTTTTGTATATAAATTTCTCTTTTTCTTTCTTTAATTTCTTCTACTTAAAAAAGCTTCTACAAGAAAAAATACCACATAATCAAAGCTTACGTGTGAATATTTTAAGGGACTGATAGTATTTAAGTACTTTCTTTGACTTCTGATTTCTATAAAGGAATTTAATAATGAATGAAAGGACTTCGAGTGCAGGTGTGCCTTTTACAATTTATAAAATACCAAGCACTTGAATACATGTGGTTTGAGCGCAGCTCTTGTTTCTTTTTATCTTTTGTATTGTGCTTAATTTCCCTTAGTGTTTTCTCTTTCTTCTATCATTTCTGTTCATTTCAGTTCATTTCATTTTTTTCTTTTTTTTCATTTCTTGTGCGACGTTCATTTTTTAGTAATTATGTAAAGCCAACTTTTCAACGACGAAAAAAACCAGCAAATTCAACTTGAACTTTTTTTATTTCTGTCATATGTACTTTGTCATTATGTTCCTTTTTTGTATTATTACTATCGAATGTTTTTCTTTTTTCCATTTCCTTTGTTACAACGCAATTAACTCTTGGCTTGGAAAATTTTTGTGGTACGTTATTACGGAGATTTATCCTTTAAATGATAACGAATACATTTTCTTTGGAAAGTTGGCATGGGTATCACGTCGCTAGTATAAGTTTCCTTTGTTTTGATAATATGATCTTAGTTTTCATATATTGGTTGCATATATAATATTCTCGAGAGCCTCAACGCCAGGAAAAAATGATACTATGTACTGATGTTACACACACTTTATTGCGTGTATACGCATGATACTTCTTTTTGAAAGAACTCTGAAGGCAGAGTAGAAGTGAAAATTCTCAAGGACGGTTTCAAAACTTTCCTTTGAATATTTTAAAAATGACATGAATATTGAACAAAAGATGTCGAAAGAAAAGTCACGATTTTGTTATAATTCTTAAATTAGACCAGTTGAGCATTTTGCTACTTATAATGAAAAATTTGCCAATGGTGTAATTAAATAATTATTTACTAGAAAAATGAAAAAAATCTTCGTTTCACGCTCTAATTTTATTATTTGCCTGTAAATGTTAAAAATACAAAATGGAAATGCTTTCAAAACAAATTTTCAAAAAACACGAACTAATAATTTTTCCTTCGCGGTCACTCAGACTGTTGCGTTCTCACCTGACTACACCCAACAACCAAAATGTCGCCACTACTTAAATTAGCTTAAACATATTCACTTTATTGTGTAATAACTGCACTGACTGTGCTTGAATTCTATGTAACTATTGCCTTTTTAGTTAATATTATTACATCTTACAAAAAATGTATGTGTACAGCACGTGTATTACAAATGTAATCCTGTGCCCGATGAAATACCTCCATGCAGCGAGGAGTTTATACCGCAGCAAAGTATAAAGTGCTAAAAGATATCTCCTCGGGTTCTACCGAATATGGTAACATTATAATTTTCTCAGCTTGCATAAATTAAATCAACTAAGAGCCTTTATATTTACCTTAATCATAGGTGTTTTGATGCTCTATTATAAAATGCACCTTGAGGACGAATGTTTTTACACGACAATTTTGATGGTGAAGCCTATCATACAAACTCAAAAGGAATGCAAAAAGTACAAATTTGACGCCAAAAAAGTGCTAGGTACACATGGTCAACAAAATATCGTCTATCTTAAAAATCCAGATGTAGGAAACCCCAAATTATGTGACTCATGTAAGGACATGGTAGTTTTAAACTGTTGTTGTTTTAATAATTAAATGATTAGAATAAATTAATACACTAATTTACAGTATGACTCAAAAAACAGAGTCGATAGTCATACAGTTTATAATGCATTTACTGGTTGTTACGGACTCGGATTCATCATGAATTCGCAAGCGATATTTCCATCCAACTCAAAAGTTCATTAGCACTCTCGTGTCAAGTATACAGTAAGAAATCAAAATGACCAGGTTTTCAAAATTGAACTAATTTGTTATAGGTTTTATTTTTCTATGTTTCCAACGTGCAGTAACCTGAACTCAGTTAAATTTTCTGCTAGTATTACTTTTAATTCTCAATCGATGCCAGTTGCATATAATATGGGATCAAAAGAGTGACAAACTAGTGGAATTGATGGACCACCTTAAAGTGGCTATATACGAATAGAAAAAACATTGGAGTATGAATTAATCGAAAAAAAAACCTTTAGCAAAAAAATTTCGCAAATATAGTGAGGTGAAAATGCTTTTCAAAGTCTCCTAGCCTGACATGCTAATTTTTAAATAGATAATTTTTAGGCGCTTGCATTTTTAGACGTTGGAAAATTGTAGGACATATAGATGCGAATGTCATATAAATGACTATGATTCAATCACTTTTTACTATACGCTAGTAGAAATTCACGATGATCGATGCGTTGAAAAAACTCTAGAAACTCTCTAGAATCTTGGAAAAAATAAGCGGCAAGGAGTGGATAATTATTGCGAATTCTCAGCATGTATGAGTGTATTAAAATTCCTCTCGAGTTCGTTAGATTGACACAATAAACCACAATAAATATGATAACCCTTATTTTGCACATAGTGAATTGACTTTGACGTAAATCTGAAGATGATCGTTTTACATATATTATTTATGAGAAAATTCATATTATTGATTGTATCATTCAGAAATTGATAAAAAATTCATTTTTATACATAAAAAAATAAAAGTAAATTAAAGTTATCTAATAAAATTTTTCGTCAAAATTCATTTAAGATTTTTTTTCATTTGCTTTATGACCGAAACTTGAAAACATTTTTTCGAATTTTAGTGCATATATAAACCATATCAATCATTTTTAAAATGAGTCGTTAAATATCTTGTCACTTATTTTAGTCGTATGAGATGTAAAAAGAGTGAAAATTGAGAACAAAGATTACTAATTTATTTGAAACTATATAAAATCAATGAGAATACTGGTAATTTTCTTATAAAATTACGGTTGTTAGTTATGCTAAATAAAAAAGACAATTATTGCTGTAAAGGGTCCAATTGAAGTATCAATCGATCCAAGAAAAATTGGCGCTAAAAGAAGTATGAGTCTGTAGAGGGTAATGTATTTCCCCAGTAAATATTTACCCGAAAACAGCGTTGACTCAGCTTTTACAATGTATGGTTCAATTTCGTAAATAAAGAGCTAAACTAGCGAGAGAGGGATTGTACTTAAATCTGTGTTTAAACTAAATTAACAAATAATTGTTCAGTTACAATCAGTTTGACAGTTTTGATCTCGCCCAACTATACCTAATCGGAATCATGTCGTTGATACGTAAATTGATTTTCGCTTATTTATTTTTGTATCTAACAACTTCACTGACTGCGTTTCCTTGCGACGTAAGTAGAATCTGTCATTCTATGCAAAATAATAATTATGGCCTAAATTTTCATAATGGAAAACATTCGTATCTAGCTTTCTTATCTCAAATGCGGAGTGGTTTCTCTAGAAGAAGTAAAACTGTGTGGTAAGGAGGACATACCTACGCAAGTAGATTACACAGTATTGAAGCATAGTGGCTCAAAAAATAATACTGAATCAGGTAATAATTAAAAATCTTCAATTCCTTCACGAGAGTATCAATCAAAACAATTATATTTTATCATCTAAGGTGTTGTGCGAGTTGGTTTCAAAATACCCCCTAAAGTTGGATGTATCTACAAAGTAGTTTTGATGGTCAATCCTCATATAAATACTACATTGCAATGCGACAGTTATGAGTTTAACAAAAAAAAAGTTACGGAGACTTTCAGTCGTGAACTAACGATCTGTCCTCAGAAAGAAACTATGATGACTAAATTTGATTTCCCATATGGTCAAAGCTGCAACTCAAGTGTATGGAAACTCAATTATTTTAACATTCATAAGTATATGGGCTAAGCCATAGTTAGCGTGATGGCCAAAACAATTTTTTTTCTTAAATTATGTACTTTTGAAGAGTACGTTGAAAAGTGAAAATCCTGAAAGTTTCAGCCCTCAAGGTCCAACCCTATTGGATTATCAGGGCCTCAAAGTTGAATTTTCTTTTTCTGCTCATATTCTGCTTGCAATTCTAATTTTCTGGGGTTAATATGAAAAAATTGTTGAATCTTGGTTTTTAATGCAAAATTTGATATAGAATTCAAATTTGTACTTAAAAATCTTATTTACAACTTGAAACCCCATAACAATGATATTTTCCTGCATTAATCATATAACTGTACTAAAATAAATGTGTTCGTATCCTTCGATTAGGTCCATATTGTAACATGTTCATCGATGTATCAAAAGACAACTTCTGATAAATTTTGGTTATCGGCAGACAAACAGAATTCATTATTGAGCTTAATATGAGTCAATAATCAAGGAAAATTAGAGAAAAACCATGTTTCTTGGCTCATATTAAGCTCAATAATGAATTCTGTTTGTCTGCCGATAACCAAAATTTATCAGAAGTTGTCTTTTGATACATCGATGAACATGTTACAATATGGACCTAATCGAAGGATACGAACACATTTATTTTAGTACAGTTATATGATTAATGCAGGAAAATATCATTGTTATGGGGTTTCAAGTTGTAAATAAGATTTTTAAGTACAAATTTGAATTCTATATCAAATTTTGCATTAAAAACCAAGATTCAACAATTTTTTCATATTAACCCCAGAAAATTAGAATTGCAAGCAGAATATGAGCAGAAAAAGAAAATTCAACTTTGAGACCCTGATAATCCAATAGGGTTGGACCTTGAGGGCTGAAACTTTCAGGATTTTCACTTTTCAACGTACTCTTCAAAAGTACATAATTTAAGAAAAAAAATTGTTTTGGCCATCACGCTAACTATGGCTTAGCCCATATACTTATGATTGAATTAACAAAAAAAAAAATAAATAAATAAATAAAATAAAATTACAGAGACAATTAGGATATAAACTTGATCTATTGTTTAATAACGTATTTACTGCCTGTTATGGACTCGGATTTATCACGGATTTGAGGGAAATGATCATTCCAACACAAACAGTTATTAGAACTGATTACGAGAAAGCTGATATAGGCGAAATCAAAAGTTCTTGTGGATTCACACCAAATAAATTTGAATCCGATAAAACGTAAGAGGAAAAAATTATCAAATCGACAAAGTAAAATGGAAAATGCAATAAATTTTTGTTTTATATGAATTTTTTGTACAATAGAAAAGACTCAATGTCAGCTTTATTTTCGATTAACGTTTCTCAAGTTCCTAGAGATGTCAAAGGTATTTACGTAGGAGTAAGTAATGAAAAAAGTAATACCCATGTGATCCACATACAGCAAAGCCGACGACCCCATAGAGAATCAGAATATGTAAATATTGACTTCCATTACAATTATGGATATTGTGAAGGTCACGTGGTATGCATTCAAATTAAATTTCTTCTCTTTGTAAAAATTTTTTTACTTTACGTTTCCCCTGTTAGAGAGATGATGATCCTCTTACTCTCGGAAGAATTTCGTGCCATTACCGTGATTTTGAGTTTCAACCAAGTAGGAATTATAAGGTGTTGGTGCATCTTGAGGATGATCGATGCTCAGACGGGCTTCTTTGGAATGCTGCAAAGCAAGAAGGCATGAATCAACGTTGCATTTTTGAAACAAGTACGACTATCATCAAAATGCTCTCAAATTAATTAGATTGACAAAACAAATTTTTAAATTTCAGAGTGTACTCTTAATGAAAAATTGATTGTTGATGAAACTATAGTAGATATACTAGATGGAAGAGTCTCATGGGGAAAATATTTGACTTTAAAATTTCAGTGGTGTTTTGACAGATTGGACATAGCGATGGGTTTGGTAATTTGCTATCTTATTTTCCATCTATCAACGGCCATAGACCATGAAGATGATTAAACTTCATTCACGTAGCAATTCTACATCTTTAAAATTGTTAATATAACAATAGGATAAAAAAAAATTAACGAGTTGTTAATTTTTATAAGCTGAAAAGAAAAAAAGGGAATGCACGAAATTCTCTGTGAAATTAAATGTATATATTATGATTCCGTTTAGTACAAGCTATAGGAAGATAACGTTATTTTGATAATTAATAGTCTAATTTTACTTGCAACTTTTTAATCATCGTTGAGAAAATATGTGTGGATGACAATGGATATCGAAAAGATTCCGTAAATAGAAAAAGTTTGCCAAAACTGATAACAGTACAATCATTTACAATTATTAACGCTGCTTGATGTAAAATCTTGATGAACGTTCAACAAAAGTTCGGTCAATTTTTAATTGAACAATGGTATAAAAATTGAATAAACATTTTCTTTGCTAGCTTTAAAATACAATCATTGGTTTTTGTCTTTATAAATGCAGCTTAGACTAATTAGTTGCGTTTATTGTTTAAAAATAAATCAACATTATTATACAATTTAATATTAATTTCTTGCTCCTCTGATTCGCTTACGAATAATTGAATCCTACAGCCGAAGTTTAAAGTGGTCCCAATGATTAAAACAAAATAAGCTATGAAAAATATCAAAAATATTTAAGCATGAACAACGGGATTTTAAGATAAGTTAATCGATAATGGTCCATTCATTCTTTCACCTAAAACTTTTTTTTATATTATACAACTAGAGAAAAAGTTGAACTTGTTTTTATTTTGAAAGAAAGATTTTTGTATTATTTGAAAGTACCTAGCAAGTTATTTTTATAACTAAATATATTCATCATTACAACAGGCTAAACAAATTAAATCGCAAATTTTATTCCTGGAATTTTCATGCGATTAAATCCGTATATGACTCTTAAATGAGAAAATGTACACGTGCAAGAAGGGTATGGAAGAACTATTATAAACACACGATTGACTCCCTGACCCTATACCATTTTTAATGCTTTTCAATTTTCACATACTCGGTAGCTGCTGCGTACAAATTAAATTTTCGAACGATTTTAATGTTCGTTGTGTTTAAAGTATCAGTTTAATATTAATTTGAGAAAATTTTGAAATAGACAGAGATAATTCGTTGGCGTAAACTATTTTAGGATGATTATTTGCTATTTTTTTTGTCAATTCCAAAGTGTTTAAAGATGAACTTTAAAAAATTATTCTTCTTTTGAGTGCTCTTTTTTAAACTCACCTTCTTACTATGATAAGCACAAAAAGAATTTCGTTGCCATCTTCGTGCACTAGCAGTAGCATTTACGATTAGCAACTGTAAAATAATCCAGTCTGAATTTCATATTTTTGTCATCTCCTTCACTGTTATTTCATAAAGCACCACTCACATAAGCGATTGGCAACATCTCACCATCTGGGCTCCAGACCAAAGTTTAATGTCGAAAGCGTACATTATTTTCTCAGGTTCGAGATCAATAAAAGAAAGTAGTGATTGTTAAATCCACGAGGGACGAGCTTTAATTGTGATTTCAATATCCTCGCCTGATTTGAGAATTTCTCGTGTCTCGTCGAATATCCTTTGCTATTGGAATAAATTGCACGGCAATTTTCTCTTCGCTCGTCCCGAGCATCCCCTTGAGCGAGGCATGTGTTAGCGAACAATCTGCGAATGCCAGGCGCGCGAATCAAGTCGCACAGTCAGATATACACGTTGATAATAATTATATCCTCGGGCAAACTCGCTTCCTTTTTCCACGTTCTGCTCCCCTCCAGCCTCGTTGATGAGCCACAATACACGTTTGGATACCGTGACTGTAGCTAAAGCTCGTATGACACGCGTGAATCAACCACACGTCGTCGTTGATTAAACTCAAATATCGAAGTTCATTTTTTACATCCGGCCTGCAGTAAATAACCAAAGCTAAGTCAATTATTACATTGCATAAGAGTCCCATCGAAAGCTCGTTATACATGCGTTGATACGGTAATGGACTCGAGGCACATTGCAAGATGTAATTAGCGTTTGGATTAGTAGTAGCATGTTTCATTGTCATCGCGTGTCCTTACATTTTGCGACCAGATTCACAGCAGGCACGAAGCCGCTATATCTTGTATAAATGCACATTTGCGGGGTGCCTGCGCGTCCCATCATTGAAGTATGAGTCGATGTCTTTGTTTGAGTCAAAATTGACGGGCGATTACACGCAGCTTCTAAATAGGGTGACGATCAGAGTTTCTTTTCAACTTGCATTGTAAAACTAAATTTATTTGCTGAATAATACTTGCGGTAAATATATCGAATGCTTTCGATGAAAATTCACTCTTCATAGTAAACAAATTCAAATGTTGACAAAAATACGTTCAAAAAAAGCCATTTTGATGGTTTATCGGGCTTTGATCGATCAATCGAAATTCATTGATTTTTCAAACCTTAGCTCATCATAAAAATATGAGCATGTTTGTTCGTGTATAAATTATATTGTATTTCATCTTCTCGAGAAAGATATGAAAATTTCGAAGAATAATTTATAGACACCGACGCGTCGCGAGAAACGTGTGCATTGCCAAGAATAAATCTTGCATTGTATCCTGCAACGTTTTGTGATATGTATTTACGAGTTTTTTCCTATTAATCCTTTCTCGTTTTTTTTTCATCACTCGATAAAATATAAGTGATCGACAACTTTGCTTTATGGACGTCAAATTTAGTAACATATTAAAACAATTTTTTCTATTTTTTATGAGAAACATTAAGTTCTGAAGCCAGTGCTGGTTTTATTTCTGTGGCTTGAGTATGGACAGAATGAAAAATGAAAGTTGAAGCGAAACTTGTGAATTTATTATTTCAACTCGTGTGCTTTTTCCGAGCACGTAGCATCTCTGCAATTTCGTAGCTGATATTATATTTTTCTATCTTGGGTTTTTTCATCTACCAAAAGTTTTGTAAATTGAATCCAGCTGTGCTCGAGATCAAAAGAAGGAATTTTAGAATTAGAGAACATATCTTCGTTCTTATAACACGATACTAATCAAGTACTAGAGTTAAATATTTCATTGTGATACTTTTATTTTACTGTTGTTACACTAATCAATCGAACAAAAAGCTCACCTCGCTGCTTTTTACCCTCTTTTATTTTTCACAAATTAACATTCATACCAGCAATGCATCCAGTTGCTGCTACACATATCTCTGTTATTTCACTATTTTTTGGGTCTTTATCAATTTAAAATTTCTAATGTTTCTTTCAATACTTATTGTTCTCCCTTTTTTATGTGCTCGAAATTCCCTCCATCCTCTCCGTGCTCCATCTCTTTCTTTCTCTCTCTTAAGCTGTGGGTTTTACTTGAAGCGTGAAATACAATATCGATTTACCGACCGACTTATTAAAAACGTGGCTTAAAATTTTGGAGATTAATGTGCGTACTTAACGAGCATTGGCAAAGATAAACTTGGGCTATGTAGAGGTGGCTATTGTCTAATTTAATGCGAGTGAAAGAGAAGAAGCAAGAAAAAAAATTAATGCTTCGAAGGGATGAAGATGGCGATCCTTCCTTTGTCTCGTTTTGAATATGCACACCGGGTATATGACGACTCAGCTTGTTAAATGGAAAAAGGGAGTCGTCTTAGGCGGATGCGGAGAAATTGAATTTTTCGCTTGCGTTTGCAGCGCGATCGGACTTTGCATTTTTTACCCAGAACAGTGCACCTGTTGATAAATAAATGAATTTTTGAAAGAAAACATTTTTTAATCAGTTAAATGCACGCAGATAAGCAGTTTACGAGCAGACAGGCCAAATGAGAAATCGAATAATGAAAATAGAAAGCGTAATTGAATTTTCTGTCTGGAAAAAAGTGGTATGTCTATATTTAAAAAGCACAGTAAGATTCTCGTTAAGGTAACTGAAGGGAAAGAGATAGAAAGAGAGAGGAAGAAAGAAAATAGGGATGAGAAAAAGGTCACTGACTCAAACTGCGAAATGAAAGAGACCCAAGATATTATATCGTAGAAAACTAATAAACGATGAAAGGAAATTACGAAAGTAATATCACGAACTTCACAACCCGATGACTCTTCATTATACGTATTTTCTTGGGGGTTTCATACAGTTTTTGTACGCTTGCATTATTTGGAAATTTTCTTTGCCCGTAATTTTTCTGTTTAATGGGTCAAAGAACTATCCTAGATAATTTGAATCGTGAATTTCTTGTTCGACTACGCAACTAATGGTGAAAATCAATAGTATAGTTTTGTACCCACTGATACAATATAATCTCTTTTCTATGTCTGCCGAATGAATAAGAACAATAAGTTTAGAATCATGACTTCTGAATCAAAGAGTAAAATTACTCGAATTGTTTTCTTTAGACGTTTCCGCGCCACTCACACTTACACACAACCGCACGTGCGAGTTTATAATTGTTTGCATGGTCGATGTATAGGGTGGAAGTTAGGGTACCCTATGCGCTTTTATTTCTCGACCCATGCTTCGTCTCGATTCATCAGTTTCTTTCGAATGCTTGCTTTCGTTCTACACACGCTCAGCCGGATCAAGACAAAGGATGATTTTTCCTCGTCGTACTTGTTTTTTTCACGTTGATTTTCACGTAGTTCCGTAGCGCTTCGGCAATTTCGCTCGTTAATCTACCGCGTGCAGCTCTCTCCTTGACGTGGTGACGATGTGTCAGAGTGAGAAATTTTTCAATCAGATGGACGTGACAAAAAAAATCAATGCATTCCGACTTGCTTTTTTCGCCATTTACGAAAGTTTTTACGTTTTCGCGTTGTTTTTATGTTGCGCAAACAATATTTCGAGCGATTTCGAAGGTAACTCGAAGCGGGGAAACTACTGCCGGAATTCTCTAAAAAATGTCGCGCATATCACGCATGATGATATCCAGTTGCCTCGTTACAATGGCATAAAGGACAGAAGAGGGGTGGCTTTGTGTGATTTATGCTCTTTACGTGCCATGCTGATTGAAAATTTTGCAAATTTCACACAACACTGATGCTCGCATCGATCTTTGCCCAAAGATCCGTAGTTGGCGCCATTGAATTTACGCACCCTAGTTGGAAAAGCGAATTTCCCGTTTGATTCCAAAGTGCTCGCCACACGCCACTCCATAAATCACTCGGTGGTTTATACTGCTCACTGTTTTATCTTATTCCAAAAAAACGAGATGATGCTGATACTCGTAATTCTAACAGTTACTAAAAATAAAGAAAGTATTTGAATTTGCAACGCATCATTCATCTCTCCTTTTTTCTAGTGTTAGACGACAATAATCCACCAACGAATTAATTAATTCGACCGACTCTGGATGCACACACACGAAGAAATACGTTAGCATTATACTTCATCTTTTATTGTAGAAGCGTCGCAGCCGCAAATTTGACCCAGATTATTTACGTATTCGGGTCAGTTGTGTATATAACGTGCTGCATGCGCGCATTTGGTGTGTTTGCGCTCAGGCTGAGCTTTTCTGCTCGATGGCGTAATTTCTCTATTCCGTCGTGCATCGCTTTTTTTTTTGTACGTTTGCTCGGATGCAAAGTGACACAAAAAGTCTAATGTACATGCGGCAAGCTACGCTGTGATATTAAACACAAGGATGTGTCGCAGGAAGCTGATGACGAGTCTGCAGGAAAATTGCATGCGGGCACCCGTATTAAACTTTTGATCATACGTCTCGTCATATATAGCGCGTCTATTAATAAGTCTACGTGTGAATAGTCGCTGAAATCGATCCCCTATAAGAATCGAGAGCTCTACATATTTACTCGCTCCCGTGATTTGTTTATATTTTCTGTGCTCTTGTTGTACCGCGATTTGCCGCTTTTGTCGTCTGCTCAGTCACGAATTATAATTACAATCATGAGAAGTCATAATCATCGATAAACGTGTATTTGTAAAATGCCAGATTCACTGCAAAAGAAAGAGCATGCGTATTGGTTTGGTACCTTTGAGGAATTCATCTCATGTCCATTACAGAGGGTGCATAGTAAGCTATTTCCATAATTAGGCATTTTGGCATTTTAATTATTTTCGAGCAAATCTACTCAGCCCATTGGCAGCTTCTTTTCTCAACATATCTCCCGCATCTTCTCTTTGTTCTAATCTAATTCCCCTTTTATCTCATTTGTCGTGTAAATTTAATCATAAAAAAAGCTTCGTTTTTTTCTTCCTTTTTTTGTAACAACGCAGAAAACATTACCCTTAAAATTATCTCAGTACACAGTACAAAAATTGTGTTTGCGACTAAAACTCGATTTTGTAGTTGCAAACTAAACGTAATTTGGCTTAACTAACAATTTTTGTTGTGCCAACAAAATAGACTTACAAACGAAAATAATAGTTGGAGCAACAAGAATTCTTAGTTGAAGTTGCAAAATCGAGTAATTTATGAAACAAACCAAGGAAAATGTACAAATACTTATAAAGTGGAAATCCATCATAGTCTGCTAGCCTATTCGTTGCAGCAGCCGTGCAGGCCAGTTAGAAGTGTTGCGAGAATTCGATGCTCTGCCGTCTAATTGAGGCTGCGAATGCTAAGATGGGTCTAACCAACGGCGGCTGTGCTTTTTCAACATTGTATACTACGTACCTCGCGATCAACCGTCTGGGATTGCCACTGCACCCCAAAAGACTAATAGACTACGCTGGATATCCGCTTTAAACGTGTTTGCGCATTTTCGTTAGTTTGGCCTAAAAAGCTCGATTTTGTAAAATCCTATTTTGTTGGTATATAAAAAAAATTTTAGTTACGCCCAGTTGGGTTTAGTTTGCAACTACAAAATTGAGTTTTGCAGTCGTGAATACAGTTTTTGTTGTACGTTCTGCGATATTTTTATTTGTGTTTTTTCTCTTATTCTTTGAGCAAACCGCTGCTGTGTTGTCGACTTGCGGCTCTGCGGCTCCAATGTGGGGGCTAAGCGTCACGGCTAGGCCTGCACTTTCGACCTGGATCTTAACTGTACACAGCTGGACGCCCTTTTTGTACAATTTCGTTAAAGTTTTTGTCTTTTTTTTTTAATTATCAGAATTTTCGTTGAAGTAAGAAATGTTTATAGAGTGCCACTCTGTTTAAACTCATTCACTCGTGGAAATCTTTTCTTGCTCTGTCTTGTTTGGCCTTTCGGAATTCGCGACACTATTCTATCTATATTATACAGAAACAAGTAACCGATGGGTAATCGATATCACATTCGAATTAACGCCGAGCAAATGAGGTTCACGAAACTCGTCTACCAGTGACGGTGACGAATCGTCAATTTTTTTCTCACAAAATCATTGAACAGCAGACTCGATTTGCAAGTAGACGATTCGTTGCATTATGTGCTGCACGGATTTATCGACGTAGGTAGCGGGCGAAATAGCTCGACGCTCCGCCGAGAATATAGCAGGGAACGTAAAAATCGATCGAGGCACGTGCACTAGGCGTATGTGTGCTACTCAAGCTACCGACACACTGCGGGGTTATTTCAGCGTATGTATCTGAGCGTGCAGAGGAAGGTAAATGCGGTTTTCGCGTTTTTCCCTCCATTCAAATTCGAGCGTCATGCTATATCTAGACTGTAACGCAGTATACACCTAGATGTACTTGACTTGAGCTCCCGTGTAATCATGAGATACTCTCCCTCGTACTTACTCATCATCTTCACCCTTGCGTCAAAACCCCTCTGCTCTCTCACAAAAAAGAATGGATAGATACCGCTCGTTGATGTATTATATCAACATCCCCTCGCGAAATACGGTGCTTTTATCCACTTTTTAATACAAGTATCATTAAAAGTCGAGCTGAAAGTTTTTAATCGATACGTCAAATTGTAATATAAAGTACTTTTGCTAATGCTGAATGTTGTATTTATTGCAGATGCATCACAGGAGCAGGTACCAACGCTTTGCGAACTCGCGGCGCGCTGCGTCGCCTCGCACATCCCGTTCGAGCTGGTCGAGCACTTCTACTCGCCGATCCCGGAGCAACTGCAGCTGCGAATCGCCTACTGGAGCTTCCCCGACAACGAGGAAGACATCAGGCTATACTCGTGTCTGGCCAACGGTAGCGCCGACGAGTTCCAGCGCGGCGAGGCCCTGTTCCGCTCGAAAAACGTCAAGGAGCCGCTGCAGATCGGCTTCCACCTGAGCGCCTCGGTCTCGGCCCTCATGGTGTCGGCCAGCGGCTTTCGCGAGCAGTACAACGTCGCCGTGACGTTCGACCGACGCCGCATAACGTCCTGCAACTGCACGTGCTCGTCCAACGCCTACTGGTGCGCCCACGTGGTCGCGGTCTGCCTGCACAGGATACACATGCCGGGCCAGGTCTGCCTGCGCGCCCCCGTCTCCGAGTCGCTCTCGCGGCTACAGCGCGAACAGCTGCAGAAATTCGCCCAGTATCTGATCAGCGAGTTGCCACAGCAGATTCTGCCCACGGCCCAGAGGCTGCTGGACGAGCTGCTGTCGGCCACGCCGAGCGCCATCAACACGTATTGCGGCGCCCCGGATCCCACGGCCGGAGCATCCGCCAACGACCAGACCTCGTGGTACCTCGACGAGAAGACCCTGCACGACAATATCAAGAAAATCCTCATCAAATTCTGCGTTCCAGCTCCCATCGTCTTCAGGTTTGTCATTCTCGTCTGACTTTCTACCCTTGTATTGTTTTCTTTCCCTGTACAGGTTGTACTGACATTTGTGTTTGTTGCAACAGCGACGTCAACTACCTGAGCACGACGGCTCCACCAGCTGCTGCGGAATGGTCGTCTCTCCTCCGGCCACTGCGAGGTCGCGAACCCGAGGGCATGTGGAATCTGCTCAGTATCGTTCGTGAAATGTTCAAACGCACCGACAGAAATGCCATACCTCTGCTGGAAATTATCACGGAGGAGTGCATGGCCTGCGAACAGATCCTCGTCTGGTGGTTCAATACCAAAGTAGCACTGCTCAACGGCAACAGTCACGGCGGTGGCAAGCACAGCAACATGAACAGCAACTCGCACGCGTCCCAGCACGCTTGTTCCTCCCTCTGCGACGAGATCGTCGTGCTATGGAGGCTAGCCGCGCTCAATCCTGGCCTGTCGCCATCCGAGAGGGAAATGCTACTGGGCCAGTTTTCCGCTTGGCACTTGAAGATCATTGAAAAGTTGACGAAAATCAGGGGAACGACTGTTTCGCAAAATTCTCATAACCGTAATGGTAACAACGGCGGAGGCGGAGCAGGTGGCAACGGCGGCCCAAAAGATTCTCTGAAAACCGATATCGAATTATTCATCGGTTTCAAACCGGCGCTCGAGGCATGTTTCTTGGATTGGGAAGAGTACTGCATACCTGGCATAACGTACACGGCGAGCACCAATCCTATGTACCATTGTCCGTTTACTTGTTTTAGGCATACCGGTGACACAAAGACTGACGTTAATCAGGTAGGACATACCAACCTTTTTTTTTTAAATCTTCAACAATCGAGATTGAAATTAACGCCATTTATTATTTCCTCAAAGGTCAACTCGAGTTCAGCAGTTTTAAATTGTCAACCACCGACGACCCATCATCACAGCCGACGCTACCAGTGCCTCGGTTTGTCCGAGTACGCTACCTACGTAGAGCGTCGACGACATCCGTCGTTTCCGGGATTGTGTCCTAGAGGCCCAACCAGCGGCGTTGGTCCTGGGGGCTCGAATGCCGGTGGTGGTGGTGGTGACTGCAATCGCAGTAGCGACAGTAGCGAAGGATTCTGCGAGAACGACGGTGATATTGCCGATGTATCCGAGCTACCAGCCGGTCTTGTTAGGCGAGGAATCGGCCGCATTTGTTGTGATACCGACTCGCAAGAAGGCGGGGGTAGCGAGTCTTCGTCCAATAGTAACGTTAGTCTCAAAAATATCCCGAGCGCAGAACCTTCGGCCCTTCGTCTCAACGTCTCATCCTCGGAGAGCCAGAGCGACGCGAGTGAGAGTAGTGTTGCTCGCAACGAATTGCCTTCATCGGTGGCCAATAATGTCAAGTGCACAGGTGCTCGTCCTAAAATTGCCAATGGAATTAGTAGTTCGAGTAGCAGTAGTAACTCCCAGCCACAGCCATCCACTTCGGGAACAGCATCGACAGCTGTCAACGGTGACTTGGCTCGAGCAGTTGCATCGACTTCGGGTACGACGCCAATAATGAATGGCAAGAAAACGAGTGATCAGGAATCCGATCACGAGAAGGATCCATCCAGAAGACCGTCCAAGGACGAGAGTCTATCCTCTAGCAGTGACTCGCCGTCTGGTGACGAATACAACGTTTATTATTATGACGCAAAAGCGGCAGCGACCAACGGGGCTACTAATAAAGAATCGAAAAATGAGGCTCATGGCTCCTCGGCGACAGCTGCCAATGTTAGCAGTATTTTAGGTAATCTAAAGAAGACTGAAGACCCATGGGATATACTTTTTGCTCGAGCAGAGGGTCTGTACGCCCATGGTCACACACGAGAAGCTTGTATGCTTGGTGTTAAATTAGCTAAGGAGCTGCTGGCTCATCCACCTGATCTCATGATCGAAGTACCGCTTGCGCCTGTGAAAGGCAAAAGAAAAAAGGTATGCTTTTAGCAACTAAAGTAACTACCATTTCGTTATTCTACTTATATTATTAGAAAATCTGAGTATTAATTCTGAATATGATAATTCTTTAGCAACAAATAAATCCGGCTTCACATCAGTTGTCATGTTCAGCTTCGGCTACATTAGCAAAGTGTGGTTTTCTATGTACAGTACTTGCCGAAAATCCAGACTTTTATAATTTGGCATTTAAAGTCGGTCTATTTGGAATAGAAATGGCTAGACCACCAGCAAGTACGAAACCACTGGAGGTAAATTTAACTCAATTTGATATATTTAACAATAAATAAGTCAATGTTCAAATTCGTAAATCTTGACCATCAATTGTCATTTCAGGTAAAACTAGCACACCAGGAAAGTGAACTAGTAAATTTGCTTAAACGCATACCTTTAGGCGAAAATGAAATGGAAATGATTAGACAACGTGCGTCGTTACTAAGAGATGGCTCGCTTCGAATGAGGGGACACTCACTTTTGCCGATAATGTTGGCAAGCTTCATTTTTGATGCATTATGCACACCATGTTCGTATATTTCATAATGTAGTATATGTTGAACAAAAAAATCAATAGAAATAAATGTTTTAAATTTTTTTAGCATTGAAAACTTTATCAGCGTGTAAGCAATCTACAGATGAACTCTTAGGATTTGAAGCAGCCGTGTCAGCAATAGGTTTAAAAGCAAATGTCAGTGAAGCTGATCATCCGTTACTTTGCGAAGGAACACGACGACAAAGGTTTTCTTCAGATTTTCTGGCTTTTAACCCTAAAAAATCAATTCCATTATAATTTGTATCAATGTTTGATTATTTACAGAGGAGAATTAGCAATTACATTGCTTGTACATTACAAAGATGAACCAGAAAAGTTATCCCGCATTATGGATAAACTTCTTGATCGAGATGTGCATCAACTAATTAAGACTCCGATAGTTGCTAGCTACTATAGCTCGAACCCACCATCCAGAAGTCAGTTGATGTATTTCCGCCGAGATAGAACATGTTCGTCGCCGCAAACGAATGATTCACCCGGTGCGGCTAACAGCGAAAATGCCCTGGGACTCAATAGCAGACCCCACAGTAGTACGAGTGCCGAATTGGAGTCTGGAATGTCTGGACTAACTATTCAGACAACCGCAACTGCACAAACGGTTAATACCCGAGCTAAAGAGAACAGGTGCGTTGAGATTTGTTTTAATCATGATAGCTTTATTCTTTGCGCTATCTTTACGGAAACTCAGTACGGCACTAGGTGCAAATTCGATATAGTATTTAATGTTTGTGATATAAATGTAAAAACACTTTTTTGTTGTTCGTTTTTTGCTTGTCCAGTTTTTTGATGTATTATACTAAAAATATAAATTTTAAATAAGGAGTTAACTTACGTAACGTTGACTACTTATTTGAAAATGTTGTTTTGTCCGCATTATTTACATCTGGAAGTTGTTGCAATTGATCCTTTGAGTTGTGTTAAAAACAGCATCCTTAAATGACTTTTTTACTAATAAAAGTATTGCACTAAAACTTGATGAAAAGAATCAGATGTTAAACGAATTGTGCCATACTTTCGTATCCTTAAGGATAGCACTTTATTCATGTTTTTCTAGAACTCAAACTCTACCTTATGTTTCATATCAGTACATCTCGTCACAGGTACAAGAGTAAAAGAGCAGCTATCGCTAAGCCATCTCTACCAAATCAACCATCAGAGGCTGGAGCTCACTTTATGTGTGAATTAGCTAAAACAGTCCTAACCAAAGCTGGTGGAAATAGTTCGACGTCACTTTTCACACAAGCATCGACCAGTCAAAATCATCACGGGCCTCATAGAGCTCTACACATGTGCGCATTTCAACTCGGTTTATACGCTTTAGGACTTCATAACTGCGTTAGTCATAACTGGTTAAGCCGAACATATTCAAGTCATGTCAGTTGGATAACTGGTCAAGCCATGGAGATTGGAGCACCAGCCATTTGGTTCTTGATTGATAGTTGGGAGGGTCATTTGACACCACCCGAGGCTGTTAGCATTGCCGATAAAAGTAGTCGAGGAAGTGACCCAAACATGGTCAAAGCTGCTGCTGAACTAGCATTATCTTGTCTCCCCCATGCTCATGCGCTAAATTTCAACGAGGTTCAACGGGCTATTTTACAGTGTAAAGAACAGAGTGATGAAATGCTGGAAAAAGCCTGTATCACCGTCGAAACAACCGCTAAGGGCGGTGGGGTATATCCTGAAGTATTATTTCAAGTTGCCAAGTATTGGTACGAGTTGTATTTGAGGGTAAGCTTTTGACAAGTTATTACTAATTATATCCACGATAATTTCAATTCATAATCAACTGATTTGCAGCATACCCCTGGTGGAGAACAACAAGATGAAATGCCTCATGAATCATTGCAACTCGATGCTAATGGTCAGCTAATAGTTGAGCCTGGTCCACCCGTCGATATGAGTGCTGCTCAAATGATGCCTGGTCAAGCTCAAGCAGTTGTTGTAACTAGTGCTCCGCCCATGCCACCTCAAACGTATGCACATCCGGCCTCGCAACTAGGTAACTATACCGACATTTTAAAAGTTTTATTTTAATAAATTATAAACTTTAACTAAATATTCACTTGGATATTGCAGAAGGAATGCAGTACACAGTGCCGTATACCACTGTGATACATCCTCAATTTACTAGTCCACCGTTTGCTGCTTGTTCGATGCCACCAATAAGAGTAGCTTTACCGTTGCAACCGCCCAATATGCAAATGTATCAGGCATATCCTCCTCATATGGGTCACCCCGCTGCTGTGCCACATCCGCAGCTGCCTCCTCAACATCCGCATCATCCCACGCAATCAGCACAACAGCCTCAGGTATCACATTTCTTCGCACCAATGCCCACTGTTACAGCTGTGAATGTTCATCCTCCACCTGGAACGCAGCATATGTACACTATGCAGCAACCGATACCGGTTACCGTAAGATACAACTATAACTATCTGAAAAAGGATTTTGAAACTATCATATTTTATATTTTCATGACTTCGTAGGTACAGCCTGGAATATCAGGTGGCATGCCAGTGCAAGCAGGTTTACCTGGTCCGACAATGATGTCTCCTCAGCAAAACATGACAGCTATGCGCACTCAGCAACAAGTTCGTATTTTTTTAATATTTTCATCAATACTTCTAAGAAATTAGAGTACAAATTTTTGCAATTTAGTATGTTTCGCAGCAGGTTCATCGGCAGAACAATCAAACGTACACGCCTCAGCAATGTAGAGCTTTGGTAGCAGCTTATCGCGTTGGAATGTTGGCTCTAGAGACCTTAGCACGACGAGTGCATGATGATAGACCTCAGGCAAAGTACGCCCGTAACCCACCGTATGGCGAGGATGTTAAGTGGATGTTGCGTGTCTCTAAGCGTTTAGGTACACAGTATCTTCATCAGCTGTGCGTTACTGTCGTTAACAGTATCGTCAGTCCATTTGTCCTACACGACGTTGCAGTCGAAGCTGCTTACTATTTGTCTAGGAATAATCCTGCCCTCGTTATACAGAATCTCAGATCGGCTCTGCTAGCACCTCTTGTGCACAAATGTCAGCAGATGTAAGTATGGAAGGCGCTGTTGCTTGTTTCTTCAAATTTTCTAAAAAAATAATAATTTTAATTGATTAAAAAAAATCGTTACATTTTTATTTCATTTTCTATAGGTATATTCAGTGTATGCATCAAAAATTGTATCATTTGATGTCCTCCGACTATGAAGAATTTGCCAGTATAGTTTGTGCTGCTAGAGCTGCTTTTCAAATCACACCTGAAGGTCATACACAATTTAAAGAATGGCTTCAGTCAATCAGAAGGTAAAAATCTTGACCTTTAACACATATGATTCATGATGGTAAAAAATTAATAAAAAAAATTCTTAGGTCCCAATCGTGTAATAAGGAACTTTCGATGCAAATAAATGCTGCCTTGCAGCAGAATGGCAAATGACACAAAACAGAGCCCTGGTTAGCTCACCGACAGCACGCAGTCGAAGAATCGTCGGCGCATTGTGCAAGTAATACATCAAATTCTGCGCCAACGTCGGCTGATGAATTAGAAATAGGTTCATACAGCGGTAGTAACAGCAATAACAACAGACGTCGTGAAAACAATTGGCTCATGCATCGAAGACATACGACGGGTAATCTCGTCGAGCAGCAGCAAGAGCGACGATGAAATTTCCGTATATAATATCATCTTATAAAAGCATCGATCATTCTTTCTCACACTCTCTCTTATACTTCTTTTTAGTGTTCATTACTCTTAATTTACTTGACAACTTAGAGCCAAACGTTGCAGTAGTGAAATTCAATATGTTCTCGCAGGTCTTGACTATTATAAATTAGAGTTAAATTACGAATTGAAAAGACTGGATCGTTTGTAATTACGCGCGATCGTTTTTTATACCATTATTTAGACAAGTACGAGTGTTACACTCAATAATCAAATGATTATTTTAGATGTTTTGATAAATTGTAATCAGAATTACAAAATTTTTTATGATTTTATTTCTATGAAATATCTGAGACTGACAAAAATGATTCATAAGTTTTATTTTGATATTTTATGATCTTGCACAGAGTATAGTTAAATGCGTATAGTTGATAATCTGCTGTGCACAGGATCAACCTTAGATAAAATGAAAACAGTCGAGACCTGCTGGATGTATTTAATTTTTTAGAAAACGAATGATTCAATTAAAAAATGAACTGATAATCTGCATTATCGTTAAATAATGCAACAATTTTAAGAAAAAATCAAGGATAATAATTACGAAGAATGAAATAAAGGATTCGAATCAAATCTATACGCAACAATCAATCAAAAATTCATCTAATGTGAGAGAAATAATTGGGGTAAAATGTCATTAATGAAAGACGATTCATTAAAAACAACTTTCCATGCTCTCACATTAAATCATCATCAAATTATCATTCATTCATTTTAGTCAGATTACGATACTATTAAATAAAGTGGTTTTTAGTCAAATTTAGGTAGAAAATAATTATTTTGAGAAGAAATCTCTTAGATAGAATGAATTATTCTTGTCTTGTTTCGCTTTTGTAAACAAAGAACGACAAAAATGAATTTAATATCGACACGATGTCTATTTATATTTATAAATGCCATGAAAATATAAAAAATTCCGACGAGTTGGTTGGTGCGCTGCTTATAAGCATAGAGATATTTACGTAAAATCGAAGAAAAAAGAGAACATTAAAATCTGATTAAAACACTTTTTGCGCAATAAAGAGCAGAGTCTTATCACCTCTTTTAGGTATTTCGAAGTAATTCGAGACACCATAAGACGATCGAAAACCAATTTCCTTCAGTTATAAGTTCTTCGGAAAAGATTCGATGAAAATAAAAAAAGTTAATTTAATTTTTATGACTTCGTGTATTTCCGTATTTCGTATGTAGTACGATAAATAGATAGATTATATGAATATGAATTATATGAATATAAATATATATATATATATACACCTATAAAAATATATATATTATATAAATATATCTACGTATATTATAATAAAAATTATACATAATATATTATTATTATATACGATCGCATCATTCTCTTTTTGTGTCACACATTATCGACAATCCATCGAAAAAAACATGATCTCTGTAATTTTTAATTGAAACTCTTTAAAACATATGATTGAATTAACGAGGTATTAATAATGGTATGATTCTGATTGACGTTACATATCATCAATTTTGAGTATCATTATTATATATTCTTATATTTCCCTTTTCTGTGTATACGTCATCACTGCGTTATAATAAAATTCATGATCTGAATAGTTAATTTTCATTAAATGCCTATGATCCTTCATTGCTCGATTTTTTAAAATTATTATTAATTAAGAGATTATAAACGTAAATTTTTTTTTCAAAAATTTCATACATTTTATTTATGAAATAATTTACATTTTATCAATTTTTCATTAGTATAACCGAAAATTTATTGTTGCCTTATTTGTTTTTCATTCTAATCAGTTCGTAAACTAAATATATCATATTTAAAAAAGCAGTTGGATTACATTTAATAACAAGGTCACACATGTGATTATTTTCGAAATTTTGAATATTCTTGCATCGATCTTTTAGATCACTAATTTATGTCTAGAAAACTAAAATGAGTTCATTATCGCCAATACATTTTTTAATAATTTTGAAATATGTTCACTGTTATTGTTTTTCGCGCACTTTGAAATATTATTTAACTGTCCCATAGCATATAAAAGTATTTTCTTGAATATGAACAAAATATTTGTACGGGTCATAAGTTAACTCTAAAAGCATTAAGAGACTTTTAATTGCAATCAAATTCAAAGTATTCAGTGGTAAAATAATTGTTTCAGTAAGACTTGAAGTCAGGAAAAAATATTTCCTTGGAAATCGGTCTAAATGGTGAAAACCTCGATTAGCAAGGCAAGGTCTCTTAAGCACTTGCCACGTGTTTCGAAATTGTTTAGTTCTTGTTTTTAAGTCATAATCTAGTGATCTAAGAGTTGTCAGATGAAATTTTTGAAATTTGGGAATTATGGACCAGTCTAATAATTATTAAGAGGCCAAGAGTGTATTGTAAGATAAAATCGAATCAAGTTTCAAGCAGCAGTCGTGGCCGAGTGGTTAAGGCGTCTGACTAGAAATCAGATTCCCTCTGGGAGCGTAGGTTCGAGTCCTACCGACTGCGAATTCTTTTTTGAACATTTTTTAAACGAGTTTTTTATATTTCTTATCAAATACTGAAATATAAAATAACACATTTCTGATGTAAACTTTATTTATTTGCTTACTATTATAAAAGGCCATTATGAACATATTTACTTACCGTTCAACTAAAATTCAATTGTAGAGTTTTATTAATCAAATATCAATAGAAAGTTGTATAGCAAAAGTAACATAACATCAATATATTAATTGGCAAGTGCACTCGAGAAATAAATTTTTTACTCGACTCCTTATCGTTCGGTAACACAGTATAATTCCATGGAGAATCAGCAAATGCGCCGCAGGAAATGGAATTGTTTCTCCGCTTTTATAATCCAAGTGAAATGAACAAGAACGCCTTTAGATGAACTTTAATAATTTCAATATATAGTGTAAGTTTCCATTGATCAGAGAAGAGTCGACGACCCACGGATCGAGTCAAAATTCAAATCAAGATATGACCATTATCTTAATCAAGATTCCATCCTAAATTTGAGAGAAGTGTTGTTTTTTAATTCGAGAGAGTCGAGCATTAATAAAAACAGCGTAACAGAATCATCACTCGAATTATATAAAAAAAACGCTGTGGATCAATACGTTTCAATAAATAAACCAGTACAATCACGCGAGCAGATTGAAGAGCCATTTACGGAGTCACACGCGACAAGCGGCTATGGAAATTTCTTCTTCTTCCTCGTATTTACGGTGTTATACACTTCTACGCAAGGGCCAAAGTGGCGCATTCACGTATACGCTCATCGATCAACTGAAATTTGTCGAAGAGATAAATTTTCCAAGTGTTAATGCACTCGATCGCACACGCTTATGTATACGCCTTGTGTGGCTAGGCTAATTTAGAGTTCGATGACGTTTGCTCGATTACATATTATATACGCTCGTCGGATTATGTCAATCAGTTTGATGTTTTTATATTATCGCGCAAGTGATAATATTTGGAAACGATGTGTGTACGATAGAGAGCGCGTGACGGTCGCCAGAAGGCCGCTGGCGAACCAGGAAAAAGGCTTCTTTCATCTTCAATTTCTTTTTTCTCTTACGAGCTCGACCGTTGTATTTGCTGACGAAAATTTTTACAATTTTTCATGTCGTATGCACTCGATAAATATCAAATCACCGAATGTACTCTCTCGCGTTAACATTACGACGATAAACTGCGTATACTGGTTAAATTTATTTGCTTTTGTACTCTTGCGCATATTCAGCGGAAAATTTTGTATCTACATCGACGTTGTACACTCGCGTGCAGGCCGATTCAAATCGCGCATAAAAGTTAAAAAATAACTCGTTTGTGTATATTTATAGAAATCGTGTATCATTTGCACTCTGATTCGCGAGCATGATGCAATTAACGGCTTCGCAATATTACATTCTAATCAGTTCGCAGTATTAATTATTAGCCAAGTCGTTCGAGCGCATACATAGAGACGTTCAAAATATTTGCACTTGTCTAGATTAATCATAGCGTCAACGTGTAGCGAGATAAAAGAAACTAGTTCCAGTGCATATCGTGATTTACATGTTAGCTGCGGAATAAATACAGCACGTGCGTCGCCGATGCTATTGTCATAAATGAAAATGTGACACGTGAACACGTGCGTTGCGATTCATTCGAGCTTCGAGTGTTGAGCTTAACTGAGAGGCGATATCGTTTCTTGAAAAGCATTCATGACTACCTCATCGATTGGCTTTCATTGTTCTGCAGCCCCAAAAGTTTTTTAAAATGTTTTTTTACTCTATTATTATAACTCCATGCGAGGTGAGCTGCTGTCAATCATTATGAATACACTGTCGCTCGTACTATCTAATATACTTGATGTTTAACTTGCCAAAAAATCATCGAAATATACTTGAGCAAATAAATTAATTCACCATAACATTATTGCACCTGGAAATAGTTACCAAAAATTGATTACTTTGTGAAAACATCTATTTTTTAAACTATTTTATGTTATAATTTTAAAAACTTACATCTTTTTCACATTCAAATTTTTTAAAAATGTCAGAAAAGGTTGGATTTATCTTAAATGAAAATAAAACATTTTGAAAAATATTACTTCATCACCAAAAAGAAAAATTATGTCAAAATTATACATAAGTTTAATCGTTGAAATGTTTATTTAAAATTTTTTTTTCGAATTAGCATCAAAGCATTTTTGATTTTCGATGGTACGTCCGAAAGCACGGTATAGAAGATTGCTGCAGGTGTTTTGATAAAAAATTTGCCGTTCTTTAAAAAAAGAGAAATTTAAAAAATTTATTATCCTTGTAATTTCCTTCAAAGAGAATATTTCTAACTAATTAGTGATCAAAAATCAAAAAGTTTTGAAAATTTAAAATTATTTAAAACTTCAAAATTAATTAGATTTTTGACAAAAATTTAAGAAAAAATTTGTCAATATTATGAAAGATAATTATTACCATCCGATTTCATTTCAACGACAATATTTTTCACGACCATTTAAACGAATATTAAGTAACAAAAAAGTAATGAAATACGGGTAACTTGGAAAAATTTTCATTCGAAAGAAATGTCTGCTATCGATTCAAAAGTGAAAGGGGTTTTCGGAAAAGTCATATTTTCGGTAATCATTGAGGCTCGCACGGGAAATTTCCCAGAAAAACGAATGGAGAGATTCCATACAATCAAGTACATCCAGTAGCATCGACAAAGTCAAATTAAAAAAGAGAATTACTGCAGATGAGAGAAAAAGGCTGCGCGTGCGGCCGCGTGTTTTAGACACCAAGCCGGAGCGGGGGTGCGCGCGCGCATCTCATGCCTCTCAGTGGACTTGGAGATTTCGGCTGTACGGAAGGGATTCAGAATCAGAGCGCCTTTCAAACTTGACGTCACGCAAGAGGCGCGAGCTTAGCTGCGTCCACCGCTCAGCTGATAGTTTGTTATCGAACGCCGAGGCATCAAGATCCTTGTGCTCGGCTCGTTGTGAGCTACTCTCGACTAGGAGTCCCAAGGTAAGTTTTTGTGTTTTATTAATCAAACGAACTTTTTTATTTTTTTCAACCCGCCACTGGAGATTCACAAAATCCATTACATTAAATTATCGTATTTTTTCAAATAGTAACAAAGTTATATGATGACTTTGTTGGACCGCGTGAGCGCGACAGTTTTATGTCTATTCAGATATTTAAATAGACGTAGAATATTTTTGGATTTCAAAAAACACGAGTGTCTAGTGTGTTGGTTCGAAATCGTATTTTTGGTCCGAATGATTATGAGATAATAAAAATTGATAAGTTTAGCATTCGTTCAACACGCTGCAAGCGCCACTCGGTGAAGTGCGCTGATTATTACGAGCGAGATTAACACGTGATAATTTAAACTCGACAATATACTGTGAGAATAAAAACGCGCGCATTAATCCATTAGCTCTTGCTCGACGAGCACATTGTTTTTAAAAATTGTAATTTCTGCCTCGGTTCTTGCAAAGACCTTAATTATAAATTTTTGCGACGATTCTTCGTTTGACCTAGTTTCGTAAAAATTAATAGTCTAACTGAAAAATTGTGCACTTTGCAGGTAATTCAACTGTATCCAGTAATCGGGTTTTGAAAAATCCAGCTGAAAAATGGCCGAATCGTTGGAACAAATGCCGAAAAGCGAGACTCTCAAGCTACGCGAACGCTACATTGGGTAAGTTAATTAGGCGTATTAAAAATCCATTTACTTTGTTTACCTCGCGCGTTGACGCTGCATGTGCGTTATACAATTAATTCTTGTTCAAGGCAGCATGACGGATAAGCATTTACATAAGAAATAAAGCCATGAAAATTAATCGTAATCTTCGTCGAGTTTGTCGTAACACGAGCCGATGACAAATAGATGTATGTATATTATAATCGGTTCGAGCGGCAGTGATCTTTCTGAAATGTGGGCGGGCGAGTTCGGGTCACTTTCTCCTCTGTCATTCTCTGTAACATGCTACACAATCGCCTATAGCGCACGTGGCTAGGTGAGCGACAGATGACAGAAATAAACGTGTCCACTATAACTTTTATTTTTCATCGAATTCGAGCTACACCTACATTCGTTATCAGCACATCTGAACAGATCGATGGCCATCTATACCAATTAATCGGCTAGATCGATCTTGAGTGCTCGCTAAAGTTGATTTGGAAAAAAGGACATATGCGCGCGATCATTATCGAATCGGCGATTAGCGAAGATGTTTGCATGCGCTTATCGCTGTTTGCAAATTCGCACTCGGGGCTTGCGCAACGCACTGGATCTAGAGCATCTAGCTCGGACAATGTTTCAACTGCGGCCGTTTTTACTTACGACTCAATTCGGTGCAAACGATCTCCGCTGCACACGCAAGCGACGAGCCGAGATGAGAACTCGCGCACCCGACAACTGCGTCATTGGCATTGATCGACTTGGCCAAATATAACGAGCGCGCGTGCATATCACGATATAATAGGAAAATACGCACGACGAGCACGCGCCTAACTAGATCTTCTCCTATTTTCTTTTTCAGCGAGTCTTGCACTCTATTCTACAAGTCGAACCCCCTGAAGATCGTTCGAGGCAAGGGCCAGTACATGTACGACGAGAGAGGCGACGAGTACCTCGACTGCATCAACAATGTGGCCCATGGTAAGTTTAAAGCGTTGGAAGGCGCTTCGCGAAGCTTGCGAGCTCTCGACCTTGGCTCACCTTATTGTCACATTTGTCCGAACTGACACGCGGTAGCTGCTCGGCACGCGAAACCTACCTTACCGACGCAGCTTGAGCGCGCTCGATTTTTGAATACGTTTTTTTTTCTCTCCCTACAGTTGGACACTGCCATCCCGACGTGGTGCGCGCCGGACAGGAACAGATGGCCGTGTTGTCGACCAACTCGCGCTACCTGCATGACAATATCGTCATCTGCGCGCGACGCCTCACATCGACCCTGCCGGAAAAGCTGTCCGTCTGCTTCCTGGTCAACTCGGGCAGCGAGGCCAACGACTTGGCTCTCAGGCTCGCTCAGACCTACACTGGTAACAAGGATACCGTGTGCATCGACCAGTAAGTTTTACTCCGACTTGGACATCATTTAAGTTAATTTAAGTTCTATTATAATGAACTCCATTGGCGTACACGAAAAACATAAAGTCTCTCTTGATGTAATCCGCTAAGCGAGTTAGTCTTTTGCCTGATGCACCCGACAGCAGCTGCATAAACTTCCAAAGCCACGCTCGGGCATTATACGCTTTCCACATGCACGTGCAGCGCCGTGTGTATATCCACTGTGTTGCAAGCTCGCTTTGAGCTTCCAACGCCATCAGGCAAGGATCACGTGCTACATATATCCTAGCCAATGGAGTAAATCTCTTATTCGCTACCCAAGTCGCGTTTCTCGGATGTGGTACACCGACAAAAGTGCGACAGCGGCGGAGTCAGTGGTGTCAGCAGCAGCAGCAGCATCCTCTTACTGATAGAAGCAGGCTTTTCTTTCCATTTCTTTCCCCCATAGTTTTGCATTAATTTTGACTTTTGCCACGTATGCTCCGGGACTTTGATACGTATTATTGATGGCCGAGATGATGTAATATTGATGGAGACTTTTCCGCGCTTCGACATCATCCATATACGCTTTGCTTTGTAAATAATAAAAAATATTGCAATATTCTTTTATACGTTTACATCAAATATTGGCTAGAAAATATTTGCTATAATTTATATATGCTCTTATAATTTACAGATTTATCATGACTCTATATATAAGCTCTAAGTAAATTCAAACACCGAGTTGTTACACTATACATATATCAATCTTATCTCTGCGGCGTAAAAATAATCACATTCATTGTTTGAAACATTTTTATTTATATCACTGAAGAACACTTATGTAAATGGAACAAAGAAAAGTTAGCCCCATAGGAAATTTGCGCAGCTCTGATACAATATTGATATTATTGTATTTTTCCACTGCATATCTTCGATACACAATTATCAGTCAGAGGTCACCCATTAATGGAATTGCTCTAATTTGCTTGATTGCAGCTCGTGTAACCCTTGCGCATTGGAAAGAAAAGTTCAAAATAGGCTATAAATTATCTAGATTGGAAAATGGAATGTAAATCGTGCGTTCAATTGTCCTCAATGAAAATCTTTCAAGATGTTAGTCTGCGATTCGCAAACGATCTCATCGATCTAAACAACTAATTCCGATTGATAAAAACAATGATAACAAAAAAGATTAAGTCATTGTTTAGTTGATGCTGCCGATGCTTGGAGAATCACACCAATGTACGTGGCACATTTGATTTATTATGAAATATATCTTTTATGTTGCTTTCAAAACTTTGACATGGATATGCCTATTGTTGTTTGTATAATATGATGACAAGTGAAATTATAAATATTTTCGTTAATGCCCTGTTTTGTCAGAAATTTCAGTTAGAACATTTTTCAAGACCATAAGTAATTTTTCAATTTAAAATTATATTATTACAGGCCTAGATGGTTCAAGCGAAGATATTTAGGTTTCATACTCAAGATTTTTTTTGCTTTTCTCATATCTGTAGAATTATATAGTACTATACATTTATTAGAAAATTATTTTTCAAATACAAAATTAAAAATTTTCACTAGTTTCAGTAATTGTGAAATGTCTACAAATGTGAAAAAATCATACGCATTAATTAATGATTATATTTTATTTATATTGCAGACCCTTTTACTTGGTACTAATTTTATGCTAACATTGACTTTTTGAAGAATTATTTTACAGATTTATATTTCATTATCTCTTAGCGTAGCCATTGAAAATTATTTTAATTTAAGCTTTCTATTTCTTTTGTGCGAGTACCTATTTTTTCAGCGGATCTAACTAGACCCTATTTTGTATAGAGAAATTTCCTAAAATTTTAATCTTCAACAATGCATGCATTAATTTTCTTATTGATTTTGCTATTTCAGTGCTTATCACGGCCATTTGACCTCGATCATTGACATATCACCCTACAAGTTCACACATTTAAAAAGTGGAAAGAAGGAACACGTACACGTGGTGAGTAAACCTTGTCTCAAGACATTAAAATATTTACATCGAAATTGATGTAAAAGTAGAGAACATTTTTTTCCATGCGTAAAATAATTCAATTTAGTAAGCCTTAAAATTAATAAAACTTGAATGGGAAAGTTGTCAAAATTAAAGGTACTCTCCATCTAACGGTGGGTTTACTTATGATTTAATTTATATACATTTTTCGAGAAGTTGTAAGGTCAAAAATAAATTAATTGTAAAATGTTAATTTTAACATTTGAGTCGTGTTCAATTTAGGTATTTTTAGTTCATTTTTGATTTAAAAGTAATTTATAGGAGTTCATTTTCATGGATTTTTTGTGCAGGGTGTAAAAAGAATCATTATACCGATACATAAACTTTCAATAAAGATTTCGTGCAAAAGTTACTTAAATAAAATTCAGTATCGGTTACTCAAATTTTTACGTTTGATTTTACATTAAACCTGCATTCAATTTAAGGTTTATTTAAAAAGTGAATTAATGATTACTACAATTATAAAAAAGTACTAATATTTCTTTGATAAATCTATAGGCACCCTGCCCCGATGTTTACCGCGGTAAATATCGTGATGATATTTATCCCAATGAAGATCTTGGTGAGAAATATGCCGACGATGTCAAGACCATCTGCGAAGATATCAAATCTAAAGGTCGGGGCGTTTGCGCCTTCATCGCGGAGAGCCTCATCTCCGTTGGTGGACAGATTTTGCCACCTAAGAATTACTTCAGCAATGTTTATAAGCACATCCGTGAAGCTGGTGGAGTCTGCATCGCCGACGAAGTGCAAGTGGGTTTCGGTCGCGTCGGCAGTCACATGTGGGCTTTTCAGCTGTACGGCGAGGACGTCGTTCCTGATATAGTCACCTGCGGCAAACCCATGGGTAATGGACATCCAGTCGCGGCTGTTATCACAACTCCGGAAATCGCTCGTGCATTTGCTAGTACTGGAGTTGAATACTTCAATACGGTAGGTCGATTGAAAAAATTCCTCTCTTGACTTCTCTTCTTGTTTTCTTAAATCTAATTTTTAATTTATTTGTAGTACGGAGGAAATCCAGTTTCGTGCGCTATCGCCAATGCTGTTATGGAAGTGATTGAACGAGAAAATCTTCAAGAACATGCCCGAAAAGTTGGAGACCATCTGCTTTCTGAATTGAAAAAGTTGGCCAAACGTCGACCAATAATCGGAGATGTTCGAGGTGTAGGCTTGTTTATAGGCATCGAGTTAGTTTTGGATCGCAAATCTCGCCGTCCAGCAACAGCAGAGGCTAAACACGTCGTTTATCGAATGAAAGAAGAGAAAATCATCGTTAGTTCTGAGGGTCCGGATTACAATATTTTGAAACTCAAGCCTCCAATGGTTTTTAGTATCGATAACGCTAATCACTTTGTCGCTTGCTTGGATGATATCCTTCAAGAAGTCGAGACTGAAGAGGTAAGATAGCTTGAAATGTATTGCAACAAATAATGTAACCATTCAATACTGATTTTTCGTTTTATAATTTTTAGCTACCAAAACCGACTACTACGATTTTGAAAGCTATGATTACACCGGTTAAAATGGACATGGAGTCAATATCTACAAAATCCAACTCGACAGTTCTAGTTAAATCTAGTTAATGTAAGAATTTTCTGCAAAAATTATCAATTTTGATTAACAACCTATTTTAATGTATAAACAATATATTTTATACTAGTAATTTAAAATTGTAAATATACATCATGGATCATATTGTAAATAAAATTATGAATTATTATGATTAAATTAAATTTTTGAAATATATGTAACATTGCAAATTATATCTAATAGATATTATGTACGTAATTAATAACAGAATTTAGGATTTATATTATTATGGCACAAAGAGCTGAATTAAAAATCTAAAATAAGGTTTTGCAATAAAACATATAAAATTGAATCTAATTGTTCGTCTTTTACTACTGCCGAGAACTTACTTTTTACGTGTAATCATCTATTAGTTGTCACTAGTGAGGTTGCAATTTTCCATAAGAGGCCGAGTCCATGAATCAGAGAATTTTTTTGGAAACTTTATTTTTAGGTTCATTACTTTTTTATATGTGATTACTTTTTACCTGCGAATGATATGAATGGAATAAAAAATAAAAAATTTAATGTATTAATTAAAGGACTATTATCGGTTGAAAAAAATTAAAGCTATTTTCATTATTTTTTTCTCGGCTCGTTTATTATATGTATATTTTCATGCTTGATGTTTAAGGATAAAAAATGTATTCAAAAATATTTTATTTTGATTTTTTAGTATTTTTCCTCGAAACACGCAATTGCAGACAGTTAATTTCAACTTAGCTGGATTTATTACAATTTTTACTTTTTCAGTAATTTTCTGGCATATTACTTTTTCGTATATGTTGATTCTTAAATTAAAACTAAAATTTAAATTTAAATTTAAAAACATGTTTGCGTTTTAGTTTTAACTTGTACTCTTTTGGAATTGTGGATGCATAACAAAGGCCCATCTAACTCAATCGAAACATAAAATCACATAGTGACACACCTCCCTAGCTCTTTCACTCTCTTTCTTTCTTTTCCTTTCTAAGAGTTCTCCACGTTACTTTTCTTTCTATCGTGTGAAAATATAGTTGGATTTAGATTTTTTGAACTTTGAGCCGATATAGAGATAACGATACTTTCTTTTGAAAATAAATATTAAAAAGTCGATGTAAAAACGTCTTTTAAAAATCTATCTCTCGGGCCAATATTATTTCTGCCCCGTACAATAGCATGGAAATACGTATATGTATGTATAAAGCAAAGACGGTTATATATTGTATCCTGCAGCTCGAAACTCCCAAGAGTATCTCTCTCTCTTTCGCTCCTTACCACTCGCTTGACTATCATGCATTATGCATGCTCATACTCAGGACTCCTAACGCTGCACATAGGCTTTTATTTATAGCGTGAATATCCTCACTCCTGGATGATGCCGCATTTATCGCTCTTTAAAACCGTCCGTATGAACTTACCCGTGCAGACTTGCGCGTGGCTAGATGAATTGACGCATAATAATGACCTGGCCTCCGGCCCTATAATATTTATGCTTATCTAGGTTCAAAACGTCAAGTATCAAAATTTTTGATTCTAATTTACCCGTTTATCAGAACTATCGTCTTAATTTTTAAATTTTCTCCAAGAAATTCAGCTTTTTCGGCAGGATCCTCAAAATGGTATCCTATAATTCCAAGACTTGGTCATCACTACTGTAGACTAGCAAAATATTTTATTGCTTACCAATCAATTGATTGACCCTGTAGAAGTATTATTTCATACACAGTTAGAAGAGTTTAATTTTAATACAATTTTAATGTATTTATTGGTTATTAAAACAAAATAGTGACAAATGAATTTTATTTAATGTACTTTTAACTGTGTTTCAAAAACCATGTTACTCTCACTGTTTACGGACAGAATATCACGAGAACCCTTGAATTATCGTGCTTCTCTGGGTTTAATTGAATTATAGAGATAGGGAAAATTACACATACACATGATTATAATAATATACTTTTATAAGAAATCTTCATTGATAATTCAAATATCAGTATTACTTCCCTTATTCTACTCCAGTATAAAATAAATTGTATACGCATGCAATTTCAATGAAATTTTAATGAAAATTATTTTTCATTGCAGTATGAAAAAAGTTGGAAAATTATATAATACTGATTTATGAATTAATGTAAACTGCCAAAAATGTTTAACAAAACCAAAGCCAAGTCAAGCCAAGAGTAACTTAGAGATAATTATTTAAATAAAATAATAATTTAGAGATTGTTGTTGAGAAAATAACAATTATCTGAGATTCTTGGAGAAAAGTACTGTAATTTTTAAACTGTTTAATTTTTTGAATTTACTTATACTTTCAAGAATCAAACTTTGTTAATTTCGATTCTTCAATTGGATTTTCTACAAAACCTGACACTCATTGTTATATATACGATAGAAAATGTGCTAAGCCGTTAAAACGTGCTGCCATGCACGCATATTTCCTTATCCCAGCAGAGCCAAAACGACAGAAGCAAAAGATACATCGAAGTGCATGACCGAAAGACGTGACTAGCCTTATAATAGTAAAGAGGGCCGAGGACGACGTCCTTTTTACCTGACGTAGAAGATTGTATTTGTGTGATTCGTGCAACATGTACATCTCTCTCAAATCTGTTATGACTTGATAAATCACCAAAAATTTAAATTAATTTGCTTTATTGCTCCAAATTGTCAATTGGTGAAATACATAAATAAGTATGAATACAAGTTTGATCTTAATTTTGCCAAACTATTGAACTGAATTTCTCTTTCAGAGAGCAAGTTAAAAATTACTTTTCAAATGAAGATCATCTCCATCAGTATTCTTCGTTAAATTTTGTGAGCTAATTTATTATTCAAGTGACAAAATGATCAAATTTATGATATATTTCTCCCGAGGTATATGGAATTACAAAAAATTGTTCTCAAAAACAAGAAAAGTTTGTATAAAAATGAATCAACAAATGAAACTCATTATAAAAGGGTAATTTTTCAATGTGATAAGGAGCAAGCAAAGAAACAATAGGTATTACACGAGCAAGCACGTAACTCGGTGACCATCGCAACCAGATACGAGAGTAATACAGCTATATGGCTCTGGCGTGTTCGCATTAACATTGCATTTAGGGGTACACGCTAACCCAATGCAATTGCCATTTAAGTGCGTGCAGAGGTAATTTTAGACTTGCCTATCTTACATATGTGTATATATGCGCAAAAGGATTTCTAGACACAGTATAGAGGGCAACGTTTCGTATTATTATTGCTTCCCTGCAGCCATAATCTAAATAATAGAGACTGAAGCTTTGCTTATTCCGACGAGTATGCTTACATGAATATTGCTTGATTCGTTGTTTATATAAATTTTATGAACTTAATGTTTTGACCGGCGATCGTAACAACAAATCTCGGAGAGAATATCTTAAAAAATGTAAATTCGCATTGAGTCTGCATAGATTTTCGTTATAAATTTAATGAGAATTGCTATGCTGTAAATCTTTAAGGTGCTTCACGGAGCGAGCCGAAAGATGTTTTAAGCATACATGTGAATAGATTTTTCCCTTTTCAGATAGAGTCGCGAAAAGGAACCGATAGATATGCTCTGAAAATATAAGAAAAAGGAGAAAGAGATAGAGAAAGGAGAGAGAAAATAAGACATCAATAAAATTTGAAAATTTGAACAAATTGAGGATCTACATTTCAACGAGCTTATTAAAAAAATGTAAATAATTCACTGCAATTTTAGGTAAAAATTGAATATTGTTTATTCCGTTTTTCCATTTTCTTAAAATAAATTGATCCAGTCAAATCCAGCGATTTTACCTTAACGAAGATACGAAACTGCTTCTAATGAATGCGCATACGGTTGAACTTTATTAAGATCGATCCTGCTAGTTAGTAACATAGTGGGGCATGTTCAGGGTAAATGTTATAGCTTACGATATGAGTAATAATATTAAAGGGCTCAAAGGGATCTGAAAATAAAAAAATTTATTCAATTTTTGAAAAGTATTTTTCTTTTTCTTCCATTGCATTTTTTAAAATTGGTGTTTTTTTAAAATGCGTTTACGTGTCGTAATATTCAGATCGAAAAATTTACAGTCACCACCTCGAATGAAACGGTTCAAGTTTTTATACAAAATAGTGTTTTTAATTGAAATTAGTATCCAATAGAAATGATTCCAAATTTTTATATGAATAACTTCATATTTAAAAATGTTTGCAATTCGATGAATAATTGAGAGTCGAAAATATGTATTAATATCGATTATATATCAACGGAAACAGAATTTATTCATTTAAAATCATTCAGATTCGTTCTCAGTAAATAACTGTTTTTGACAAAAAATTTAAGTCACTCATCAAATTTTACATGAAAAAATCACGATTCAGATTTTTTTTATGTTCCTCCTAAAAAAAGTAATAAAATTTTTTAAAATAGAAATCTAATTTTGAAATTCATTAGTGATGGACCTAAAGGGTTAACATTTTGAGAATTATCATTTTTCAATGTACTCTTTAAGAGAATATACCTAGTTTCTATTGCATTTTTTTGTCATGTCATACTTGACGTGGTTTGGCCCATATACGGTATAGATATTATCCTTTGACTGACATAATCTTTAGATGGTTTGTTTTTTCATTATTTTATTATTTATGATCTAACCCAAGGTTATTTGAATGGGTTTGACTATTCAGGGGAAATTCGTATACGAAATTCTAAAATTGGTAAACGAAACTCCAAATAACCCGAAATAACTTTATTTTTGTATACGAAAATTAAAAATTTCGTGCATGAATTCTCCTAAATAGCCATTTCGTATTTGAATAGAATTAGAATGATCAAATAGATTTTTTTTCAAGATTAACAAATGGTTTCTGACTATTGCGTAAATTCTCATTTGTGAAGTATTGAATACTTATTTTGCGTAGCACAAAATCTTCGAGATTATTGTATAAGGGTAGCAGTGTCAGCAAAAGCAGAATAAGTAACTTGACTATTTTCCTAATTGTAAAGTAATTAACAGGAGAAACATTATATTGTAACATCCGCTTGGTGTAAACTGCGCACATATTTTGCATAGTGTCGAATTTGAACTATAAATTTCTCCTGATGTTCGCGACAATGTCAGTATGTATTATATTAAACAAGGCCTATACTGGATCTATTCAGTCTTTGCTTCGAGGCAATTATCGACGTTCTAGAATATCGTGTAGAAGCATTATAATACTCGATCACGAAAATCGATGACAAAATCATTGTTCGCTTCCGTGTAACCTTCGCATGTATGGAACAATTATTATCTTACAGCTACTATAGAACATGTAATGGACGCTTGTAGCCGAAGCATTGTATAAAAGCGCAACTTGTCATATTTTTCTTTTCTTGATCGACAGTCAGTCTCATTTTTAAGCTTGCTTCGACATTTACAAGTCGCGAGTGCAATATCTTCAGATAGCTCGAGATAATCAACGTATTATCGATACGACGTGCGGCACGTTGTTCATCTTTCATCGATCAAATCTATATTGTGCTTACTTGTGAGCTTTGTGTATCAAATACGAATAACTTATATTTTAAAAAGCAAACATTTTCTCAGAGTTTTAAAGATTATTTACGAGTGCAGCAATTATGAATTGTTTCGGCTTTCAGATGATAATTTTTTGTCTCGTTCTTTTCATCGAGACATGTGTGAGTGTTGCCAGTGATCATTTTAATATTTTGGCGCTGTTTCCATACTCGGGAAAGAGTCACTTCGACGTTGTTGAACCACTCTTGGACGAATTGACCCTCAGGGGTCACAATTTATCCGTATATAGTCATTTTCCTAAGAAGGAATCTCTGGCAAATTATCATGACTTTTATATTGGCTCGAACTCGTCGAAAGGAATCAACGTGATCGATTTAAACAGTGTGAAGGAATCTTATCAACTCGTCAAGATGGTAGGTAAGTTTGACCTAGAACAGACATTTTTCCGATTACGTTAACGAGCTACTTTTTCATCAGATTTTTTCGAACTTGGTTTGGAGCAAATATGTCGTCGAGGTCTCTTGCACCCGCACATTCAGAATCTCTTGAAGTCGACGGACCAGTACGATCTCGTGATAAGCGAGATGTTTCATACGGACTGCTTCGTGCCGTTCGCGGAAAAATTCCAAGCTCCGCTGGTGCTGGTACGTACCTCGGCTATGGCCGCGTGGCTGTCGGCTCGCACCGCTAATCCTCACAATCCGAGCTACGTGCCAGGAACGACCTCGGGCCTTCCGACGCGCATGAGCTTCGCTCAACGGCTCGCCAATACTCTCGACTTCGTCTTGTACAATGTCCTTTATCAAATATATGACGCAAAGGGCGAACGATTGGCCAGACAATACTTTGGCGAAGCCATGTCACCGCTGCAGAGCACAGCGGCCCGAGCGAGTCTGTTTTTGATCAATTCACATTTCGTGTCGCAGTATGCAAAACCGACGCTGCCCAACGTCAAGGAGATCGCTGGTCTACATCTAAAAGATGCGAAACCCTTGTCCCAGGTTCGTATAAATACGACGATATTTCAAAGATTTCGCATGGGGAAAAATAAAGGATCTGTTAGCTTGCGCGCGCTCGCTATCTCTTTATCTCTTATCGTGTGGTTTACGAGAAGAAACGAAAAGAGGAAAAAATCGAAAAGTAAATTGAACTTTTCTTTCTTCAAGATTGCTTTTCTCCCCGATAAAGAGATACAGAGCGAGCGCGTGGACTTTTTTATTCGCACGAGAAAATTAAAAGAGCCCTCCGTGTGGATAATTGGCAGCCGAGCACAGTTCGAAACCGCATTACTTTTCCCTCCGACCGATTCAAATTCGCTTACTTTTCTTTTTTGCAGGACTTGGAAAGTTGGATGAGCAGCGAGTACGGAGTTGTTTATATGAATCTCGGTTCAATGATTAAACCCTCGACGATGGATAAAGACAAGAGAGATGCATTTTTGCGGGTTTTTGCGGAGCTGCATCCTGTCAAGGTACTTTTGAGATGGGATAGCAGTGGACTGGAAATAGTTCTGCCTCAGAATGTCAAGCTAATCGAATGGGCGCCACAAAACGATATTTTACGTTAGCATCATAGATTTATGTTAAAAAATTCCTTGAAACTCATTCTTTTTTATTTCTAATGCAGATCACCCAAATGTGAAGCTGTTTATCGGACACGCGGGAATGTTGGGAATCATTGAAGCCATCCATGCTGGTATTCCCATGGTAATGATTCCCATGTTTGGCGACCAGGAGTCGAATGCAATGATCTCACAAGAAAAAGGCTTGGGACTGGTACTACAGTACTACGACATAAATTACGACTCACTCAATCTCACCATTCGTGAAGTACTTTTTAAGAAAAAGTAAGTTCTTTAATAGATGTATAAACGAGCCTAGACAATTTTGATTGTCTTTATGTATTCGCAGGTACTACGATACGGCAAAAATACTATCTCAAGCATTTCGAGATCGACCAATGACGGCGCGAGAAGAAGCTGCATTTTGGGTGGAATACGTGGCTCGTCAGAGACAGACGATCGATTCGCTGATGCATACGCCGAGTCGCGATCTCTACTTTCATCAGTACTTTTTGCTCGACGTCGTCGCTTTTCTCGCATCTTTACTCGTTATGACGCTTTGGCTGATCTCTATGGCTGCGACAAAGATCCGTCGACTCTTTGGCACGTTGCAACGAAAGCATTTAAAGACCCAGTAAAGATTACAGTGCGATCGGATGCTGCACCCTCACATGTGCAACACTCGTAGGACGTGCGTCAAACTGGTTTTAGGCGAAATTGCCTGGCCGCAGTGCGCAAATATTTTTCCACCATTACTCTGGCTCGGAACGTGTGCGCGCGCGCCCATATGCAGCTATACAGTACGACAGATAACGCAAAAAGTTCAGTTTTGATTGTTACGACTACGCGCTTTTACCGCGTGTACACGAGTCGTTATCGACTACATGAGCCTTCAGTATGGATTTTTGGTCTATCATAAATGTGTGCGTGGGTGCAGGCTCGCGTGTCTATATGTGTTCGAGGCAGTTCGAGAGGGAGAGAGATAAATTCGCTTTTGATGGGACGGTATTGTTTTTTGGCGAAATATTGTGGTTTTGTGCGAACAAATGTTTGCTGATTCGTCGAAAAATAAATCCAATCATTCGTCTATTTATGCCAGCTTTACGAACGTATCTCTCATATAATTTTCACATTTAAAGCTAGTTATTGATATTGCATTTAATTAGAAAATAAGAATGTGCCACAATTTTCCATGCTTCCTGTTACAATTAAAATATAGACATTCGTTTTTCATGGAAGACAAAAACAGCAGTGGAAATTGTAGTTTTTCTTTCCTTTTTTCCCTCTTTGTCTCTTTTCTCTCACGTCGCGCCCTTTATCCACACACGACATGGATACATAGCAACGATTTTCCGTTCTATTTACGAACGAAAAACGCCGACGTGATGTAAAAAATTTTCTCTCGCTTGCGTTGCTGCGAATAATGTGCCAGCTTTTGTAAAAATTACACCGTGGGTGACGATGAAAAATTAATACATTTTCTCCGCGTACGATCGATTCGATTGTCAAAGTTTCGGTATGTAGCTTGCGTCAACACAGAGCGTTCACTGCCGAGCTTACAATTGGAAAACGCGTGTAACATCGCTCAGATATACTTTTCTTGTTTTTCTTTGCGGGCTCAGGGACACTTTTCATTTTCGAGCTTTGGTGCGCTACGGAAAAAGCTTGATTAACGAAGGCGGCCACGACGCCTTTATATCGGCGACACTTCATCAAAGAATTAATTCAGCTTCGTTCGCAGGGTATAAGCGTCCATCGAATAATGTTCAAAGTTTTGCCGCACAATCACACGCAGTGCAACACACATAGAGGCAATGGGCGCAGTCATAGAGAGGACGAGTTCTCGAAGCGGCGCGGCGCGTGTATGTACGCGCGTAGCAGCAAAAAGCTCCAAGTACCGTCTAATGGGAATAGTTGCTGCTGAACTTTCGCCTCGGGAAATTAGACGGCCGCATAATATATAGCCAGTGACAGTATTCAACTGTGTGTGCTTGCAAGACTCCAATGACGAAACGTATTATAGACATGATATTTTTTTCAAATCATTCGAGGGTCACCCGATTGGCTGAAAACTCGTTATTAATTTTGCGAATTATAAAAAGATTGGCCTGTTTACGTGAAAAACAAGTAAACTCGAATGATCGAGTATCAAAGCTTACGTATCTGACATATAACTGCTCAGTTATAGCTGATTGCGGCATGTAGTCTATATACGAATGCGCTAAAGCCAGTGCGTTACGTTCGGTCTCTTCTCAGATTGCGGTACATTTTTTTAGCTTGTACCTTATCGTAACGCTGATTCATTATCTCGCGAATGAATAAATGATTGTATATATTTAATGAATAGCCAAGCTTATTTTCGCATCGCTCAAAGGTCAAGTCACAATTGATAAAGATGAGAGCATCGTCTTGTTGATTCGATTATCTTTATAATGCGCTTAATTCAAATTGTCGCTAAACAAAAGAAAGGCTGAAAAACCGGAGCAACGCACTTTTATTCCTCTCGATCCAAAATGTTAAATTGCTGATCCTTTATATACATCCCACCGACAGCGGCAGTAGCAGCTACAGAGAACAAGCAATTAAACCTTCCATTTCGACGATCGATGGACGTTGATTTTTGACCTCGTTAGCAGTTCGCTCCTTTTCATGGATCTACTCTGGTACAGAGAGACAAATCATCGGTCCTTTTGTTCGTAAAATGTTAAATACATACGTTAAACGTTTATCAAATATAAATGATGTGATGTAATGCCCATAATGATCGCTCTTGCGATTACGTACTTTCAGTTTGTTTGCGTTCGAGGCAGATAAAGACGCAAGCGAGCGTGTCGCGCTATTTTCTGCATTAAAAGCCGGGGAATATCTTTTCGACTTGAGTACGATCTTGTGTATGTTTTATCGAAAGCAGACTTTTTTTTGAGCAAATCAATTTTTATGGCCTATTTATCAGAAACCTTGACACACATAAAACACGAGAAGCCCCCCCAAGCGATGGTGAAAGCGACGTCCAAGCATTAGCAAAATTCGATCCCCGACTCTAGTAACACGGAAAACGTCATTAAGTAATTGGTCGAGAGACAGAGAGAGAGAGAGAGAAAGAGACGTAGAAAACGGGAAAGAAAACGGCAGCCGGCGCGTACACATGTCGTCAACATACGCGCGAACCTTGAATCTAACGGGCTGCGTCGTCGCTCGCAATCGCGCGAAATACAAGCGCGTCCGTACGGCGGCTGCGCCGAGCTTGCAGGCGGCGGCGGCGAGCTGCTGTGGAGGAATAGGTGTATGCGCGGCTGGCTCGTGGCGCGTTCATTCCGCATGCGCCTGTCCGTCCGAATATTCTCTGCGTGTTCATCGGAGCCGGAGGGCGGCTTACAAGCATATACTTGTGGGTGGTTGAGCATGCTCCTCTTAGTTCTGCTCGAACCCCCGAGTCGATCGCATATTATACCGTCGTCGTGTTACGTCGCTCGCCTCGGCTGTCTTTGCGCGTTCGCCTGCTTGCGATCATAACACGCATGTGCTTCGAGCGAGCAACAAAACTTTTATCCGCAATTTTGTTGTAAATTTTATTTTTCGTCCAACGAGCAGCAGCAACATGTATTCTCAAAGATTGTGCAACCACTGCGAGCAGTATAAACACGCCACATATCATAAACGTCAGAGCTGTTGGAACGAGAATTGTGCGGCTTACGGTGGTGGTTCGTCTTGGTCATCGGGTAAATACAACAACAATGCCCAAGGCAGCAGCAACAACACGTGGCAAATGCAGAAGCAGTTCAATCAGCAGAGCAATTACTACGACCAGTACAAGCAGCGAGACAATCGCCGTTAATCAAGTCGATTGTTCAAATTACCTTTATTTGGTTTTATTTTAAGTTTTTCATGATAATCCAAGTGCATAGATGTTTAAGTGAACAATACTTATGATAAGGAGACAACGACCTGTATCTTATAATGTAGTGATAGTAAAACTTCATCAAACTCAACGTTACAATTAGGCACTAAGGGAATGCCAAAGATCGGACACTTAGTCACACACACGCACACCAGCAAACGGTAAGTCGATTACTTGCGCATATATATTTATAGACGATGACCAATGTAGGTCAAAGAAATTACAAAATATATGTGCTATGCGCGAGCACGCACTCGGTCGCTCACACACACACACACACACACACACACACACACACACACACACGCTGCTTCTCTCACCGTGCCTCGAGTGTTTAAAAATAGGTGCATGCATGCGAGCTTTAAATTTTCAACATGAGCACGTGTGCTTGCGCGGACAGATGCTTACGAAATTGCAAGCCGATATCTCGGACCAGCACACGATCGTGTTGTGATTCAACACGGCTACATGTCAAAAAACATAGCCAATGTAGCTCAAGAAAACATCGACGCTTGTCTAGCGCGAGTGAGTAATTCATGTAAAAGTATCCCATTATTATTGTTAGGCCGACAAAGCGTGCACCAAGCGAGAAACGCGATAACGCACGCAGTTATATGAACATGCTGCCAGCCATGTATGCCGCATGCAACGTACACATAGCCTGTGAGATCAAAGTTTATCTAAATTAGAGTGAGGAAAACAAACTTAACGAGTCGATATTATTTTAAACATGCAATTTTGCGAAAAGGCCAAATGTACCGCACGAGGCATATTCCATCGAATTACACGAGACACCGGCTGATCGATTTCTGCTTTCGCGAGGAATAACTACTGCACTTTGCACGCCGGTATATCTGTATCTACGCGAGTTGCACGGAGAAAACGGAACTCCCTTTTTTTATGTGTTTGCATCGGGTGCACATAGTGAAAGAGAGGGAGAGAGAAAAAAAGAGAGGATGAAAAAAAGCGAAACAGATATATAAGATACGGTAACACAGACGACCCTTTGTGCGTGTATGGATGTGTGCTTTCAGTTCATTGAAGGGTGGGATTATTACTTGATTGCGGCACGCGTCAACCGAGCACTGAGGCTTTTTTTCGATTTTATGCATGGCTGAAACACTTCATTCATCCCTCGCGATGCACTTGTGTATAGGCAGAAAAAAAATTCTCCGCACATTCTATAAAGCCTTATGCGATTCAGATTGTTTAATTAACGAAAATTCGTAAAGATTATTATACGTTTATTTTGAATTACACGCTACAGTATTCTGGCCGTCAATAAAAATTAAAACGTTTAATTTCATATTGCCAATGAAAAGATAATTAATTGAATCGCATTGATTGATGAAATTAATGAGTTATTTTTTCACCGAGGAAACAATAAATAATCATTTCTAGACAATAAAATCTTTTGTTTTAAAATATGATATTTGCCGAGTGCGATGAGATATCTTATCAATTTTCTGTTTACCCAGCGCGTGCACCAAGATGATCCAGTTTGTTCATGTTCGCTTGAGATTACGATGAATTTTTAATTTTTAAGCAAAGTAAAAATCGCAAATATGTATAATTTTGTTCGCTCAATTGACTGGCAAGCGATCGTGAGCTCGAATTCTTGAATCGGAAAAAAGCTCGCTCCTGATTTGGTATTGAAAGAAAAAAGAATTTTTTTTCGTCCCACAATCGTTCATAATAGCAGCTGTGCGAGAAAAAACGAGCGGCGATATACACGTATATAAAAGAGCAGGAAAAAAAGTCGATCCTCGCTTACGAAAGTTGTGCATATATATGAAAAAGAGGCAATGTTATAGTTGACGTCGGCGGCGGCGACGGTAGCCGAGCGACGGTAGTCGTTAGTTTCAAGGAGTAGCAGCATTTAAGTCAAAGGTCGTCGTGCCGGATTCCATCCTCTTTGCTCTCGACCTCGATGAGAATCCGTCTACAGAAAGAGGGGGAGAGAGAGGAAAAGCGAAAAAAGCTCGGACAGAGAAACCCTCTTGACCTGCGATGTCTCGGCTGTCGAGTATACACGCGTAGGTATATGCGAGCGAGTACGCCGTGTATATGCGCGTATTATTTGCGCGTAACGCACACATGCGGACGACAACGGTAAACATTAAATCATCGAGCATTTCAGGAGGATTAGTCTAGCATTGTTCCTCGGGTCACTTTAATTATGACGCTCCATGAACGTCTTTGCTTGTAACTTGCCCAAGAGACGAAGGAGTTTGAACACGCGTAAATCTCGCCCGCGCCGTAGACCCATAGATACTCACCTCTTACTTAATACCGGCGCAAGAGGGACTCGATTTTACGAGGTTAATTTCGCTTTCAGAGTTATGTATCAATTGACCCGTAGTTGGTAGCTGCGCAGCTCCCGTCCGAGTTATGTTGCCTTTACTCTCGATTGCCAAAGTGGATGATTGAATTTTCGCCCTCCCCCTCCCTCGCCATCCCTGAAAGTATTAGGCGCACGGGCAGCTCTCTCGAAGCCATAAATTTTGCCCATTTGTGAGAAACGATTTTTCAGCCATCTTCGTTCTTTTTGCCGAACGCAACGCTGAAAAACATTTAATTCATTTGGCCGAATGAACAACGATTTCGCAGCTATCGCGCGCACGCACGCACCGAAAAATACGCAACCCCTCCGCATATGGATATAAACAGGCGCGCATCCCTCGGTCAAGTTGATATATTCGGCCCCTTCGACCGGTCGATACCTACGCGAATGCACGCGGAGAAAAGTATATACTGCTACTAGGGGTGCCACCGCTGCCTACTATAACTACGCCGCCGTGTCGAGCCTCTCCGTTTATGCATGCAGACTTGGTGTAACTTTACGTGGAGCAAGCGCGAGAGTAAGAGAGGGAGGATTAACTGGGCCATGGCAAAGTTTCCCTACTGCAATGCTCAAGGGGATGCTACGACGCCACCGCTGCTACGGCCCGGTGGGGGGAGGCTGTATTTACTAGAATATTGTCTGTGTGCAAGTGTAGAACTAGACATTGGCGCTGATGCCGCCGTTGCTGATGCTTTTTTGCTCGCCCAAAGGTAACAGATGTTGCACCGATAGTTATCATTTTTCGAGCTTTCGATAAAGCGCCTACAGGCGAGTACAATAGATAAAATCAATAGCAACTCGATATTGCGATTGAAAAATGCTCAGCGACCGAAAGTTTGGTCATGCAAGCGCCGCTACCGAAACGATAAAAATGAAAAAAGAAGGGAAAAATGAAATATTTTCAAAGGTCCGCAGCGATATTAAATTATCCTTGAAACGAGGTAGCCAAGATCTTGACCGCCCCTACCTAGGGGCAGCGTCTAAGTACATCAGCCGCCAGAGAGTTGAAGCATCTTCAGTGCATACCACTACGAGTTCGTCAATGGACACCTGCGCGAGTATTTCTACAGTAACGCACATACACTCCGACGCACTCGACTACTCTCCGCAGAAACGTTAACAGGATAATTACATCGACATCGGAGTTTGATGGGTAGAGGCTCCTTTGTGGTACGCGATACTCGCGCGCATATAATACATCAAAGAATACAACACTTGAAGTTCAACCAAGTGAAATTCAATCTTGTATTAGGTGTGTATATGTAAATTTGCGCATCAGAGAGCATCGAAGCTAGGCAAAGGAAAAAAACTCTGTACATCCATAGCGTTATCTTTCGATTTCCATCCATTTTTGCTCGGAGCTGTTGCGCCAGAGCGTCGACTTTCGTGTACGCGGGGAATGGAAAAAGCTCGGACTCGTATACTGACATTGGCAGATGCAGGAAATGAAGAAACTCCAGCGGAGCAGCGAAATATAAGGCTGTTACTCCAGGAAAACCATGCTGATAACGAGACTCTCTCTCTCCTCTCTCGCTCTGTGCTCGTCGCGTTCACGACGATGATGAAAGATCCTCTCGAGCGTTTGTATTAATTTCCTTCGATGTCTTTCTCCCGTCCTAATAATATATCGTTTGATGTCGGGCTCGCATATATGCCGTATATATATAAGCTTTCGAGAGAGTCATCGAGATTACGATTTTGATACAGCCTTATTACAACGGTTACGACGCATATATATATACCTATGACACTCGAAGAATAGAACAAAAAAAAGTACACACGCACAATGGATTCTGCGAGAGAGAAAGAAAGGAGACAACGAAAAAGCTTTGCGCATAAGCTAATCTTCATCTCAATAATAAAAGTTTTGCGTATACATGCGCAGTCATAAAAGCCGCTCGGTAATGTATGCGCACGTATTCAAGAAAAACGCAGATAAAAGATATCTGCCTCGGAGAGCACAAGCTGCGGCATTTGGGCTAGAGCAGAAAAATCGTACGTTTCTTCAAATAGGCATTCGCATATACGCGCGCGCTCGCGTTCGCTACTGTTTTAGCTCGGATGCACCGAGGCCATTAGAACTGCTGCTGCTGCTGTAGTCGCTACCGCTGTCGAAGCAACGGAAAAAATCAGCGATGTAGGGAAAAAATGGTAGTTCTTCTTCGTTTTTTTTTAGCTCGCGACGACGTATACGTGGCATTCTAGCGAGATTTAATTTTTCCCTCTTTGGGGGATCCTGTATACATTGAATATATCGCGCCAATGCAGTGCCGGCGCAGGCCTCGAGAGCCGCGCACCAGAGAATATTTTAACGATGACGAAGGGAAAGCCAAGACGATGGAGAATAAAGTTAATCGCATTAGAGAACAAAAAAAGTCGAGACCTGCGTCGAGGGCAATGAAGGCTGAGCTTAGATTATCCCTTTATACGACGAGATTCAGCCTGCGGTTTTTCCAAGTTTATCGCTCGGAAAAAGGAAGGCCGGCAGCGGAATATGCTGATATTGGCTTTTTATGTAACAGTGACGTTAATACTTTGCACCCTGTCTCGTAAACATCGCGTTGATTCATCGTACTTTCGGCGATAGCCGCGCAATAATCTCGCGCGCAAAACCAGTCCAATCGAGTTTTTTTTCTTTTTTTTTCTCTCGGATAAAAGAAGCGAATTTTTCGCGCTTATCAGTTTCTCGCCCAAAGCGAGATGAATAAAAAAAAATGAGTCCATCGCGCGCGTGTGTGAAAAAATTCACGTACACAGTAGACTGTGGCGAGTTTCTCGGTGGGCGCCTGCGCGGGCACTGCTCGTGATTTATATTGG